AATTTTCTTCTAGTGGAAAAATCACTAAATTTAACGAACGATTTTGCAAAGTGTCACTAAAAATGATTGGATCACTGAAACCCAGAGGCATTCCCCGGAAAACTAAAAACGCTCACTTCTTAGTAATTCCCTAGTTTAATTTTCATCTATTCCGATAATAGTTACGAATTTTCCATAGATCAGTGATATTTAACTATTTTTAAATATTGCATCAGTTAAATATACGTTTCCTCAAATTTACAACTGAAAATAACAGACAACTCTTTTCGCGCCTCATGAATAATGCGCAAACAATCAATATTCCACCCTAAGAATAATTCATAAAATCGAATTACATTTTTCTACTTCGCAATCCGCAATGAACAACTAAACAATTCTAATTATGAGTTTATAAAAAAATTAAAAATTCATTAATTCATTATGATAAAGGAAATGAATGAAAAATTTTATCCAGAAATAATATTTTAATCTGTAATATTATTTGTTATTGTTTTTTGAGGTAATATTTATAGTTGTGTTATTTCAACGGGTAACCAAAATTTCGCCTGCACTTCCGTAATCAGTAAACACGAACATGAACTCCGTAATTCCACCGGATATTACCGTACACTGAACCTCGAACTATTTCACCTGCCAGTGAATCTTCCAAAAGCCTCGACAACAAAAATAGTCAATCCCTACTACTCACACCTCCACTTGACTATCCCATTACCCGTCATTACGACAATGAAATATTCCTCGAGCACGGAAAACGCCCTGCCGAGTAAAAAACACGAGTAATTATACCCTAGAAGAAAAAAAAAGGTGGAGGAGTGGCGGAGTGAAAAAAAAATGAAAATGTAATAAAAATTCATACACGAGTGGAGAGAATTGTTTCCATTTGAGAGATTGGGTTATCCTCCCCGAAAATTTAACCCGCTGAATTTTCTCAGCATCTCACCCACAAATTATTCACACTCTTATTCTCCACCTCGGTACTTGAGAATGCGTTTCTATGGACACAATGAGGTCATCGTACTCTCGTGTTTTCCCCAACCATCTTGAATTGCAATTCACGTGTGAGTACGTATAGATATAAATTGTGGGGTATCCAACAAAGAAGTGAGTTTAGTTTGTCCATAGTCACACTTGGGGCCATGGAATGGATGTGGAGAATTGGCCTTCTCGGGTTTGTGAAGGAGAGGAGAAAAAGGGGGACCGTTGAAACGTCGGGGATAGAGGAGAGGAGTTTCACGTTGAAGAAAAAAAAAAATAATAAAAGTGAGACCTTCATGGTTAAGAGAGATACTCACTCGAGCAAGACTCCCCTTTTCTTTATTACCGGGACGCATTCTTATGGGGTTGCGTTGCCCCCTTTGAGATCGTTAAACCTACCCAACTCACTACGTTCAATGGCTTTACCCGCGATTAATCTTATCTTTTGTATCACCTCTTACCGATAATGAAAGATGTCTGACAAGTTTAAAGAACTCGGCTCATATTCGAGTTGTGTCACAAGTTCATATCCGGTGGGATGGAAATAAAGATAAGATAAAAATAGAGATTATTCAACTCGCGAGTAATCCGCGAACAATTCGCGAACAATTGGCGAACAATAGGTGAACAATAGGCGAACAATTGGCTAACAATTGTCAATGACATTATTATCTCAAAAGATTTAATTTCCAGAGCTCCTTGATCCTGGATTTACCCAATTAATCCTCACCTCGCGCTCCGACTTTTAATCCTCCGGTCAGTGGCCACTTCTCCTGGGGTAATTTACAGGTCAATTGTAATTATGAAGGGATTTTGGGTTTTTATTAATTATTTTATTTGGGATACGTCGTCCACGGGGCACTCGGCATAACTGAATCCGCACGACTGAAAGTAGTGCGAGGTGGACGGTGTGTACACGGTGTATAGTGTGCACCGAGGATAACTCGGTACTATGGTACTCGTCGATTTACTACACTCACTCAGTTACACTGGAGAACTCCTCGGTATGCCGTTACCGAGACCTCAAAAATCCTTCTGTACGTACAGTATTAAGTACACCATAATCTGGTGCAAGTACGTTAGGGGACGCACCCAAAGTTGCAATTGCACTTTCTCGTTTTTTTTTTTTCAAGGCCATGAAAAGACAAATAATTCTTTACAACAGACCTAAGGCTTCAACTCAATAACGATGATAAATCCCTTTTTAAAAAAAAGGATGTAACATGTATTTAAAAAATCCAGTGAAGGAATAACCGATTTTTATCGAACATCAGGTACATCATGTCTTTTTATTTTCTGTATTTATTTTCTTTTCGTTTTTTATGAAGATATCTCTGAATATTGGAAATATTTACTGGACAATATGAATAAAAAATATGGGTAAGAATATAAACATGTTCGGATAGGTTGAGGTTTTACAGTTTTTATAAAAATTTTATTGGGATGAAGAAAATAATTCGTATATTTCTTGGAATGTAAAGTGGTATCAACTGTGTGCAGAATTTTTTATGCTGCAGGTGATGCCCTAGAATATCACGGAAGAAATGGTTATTTAATATTTCTGTGTGACCCGTGAATTAAGTTAATTCACTTGATTAATTAATTCAGTAATTGCTGATTCAACGTATTAATTAATATATATGAAACTAAAATGGAAAAATGATATTGGGGGATTGAATGAAATTTGAAGAGAGTATGAGGGATCATTTGCTGATAATTATTGAGGAAATTTATACAAGGTCATCGTCAACATGACCACTCTCTGTAGCAATATAACTGGCATTACGGAAACCTCGACTAAATCGCTGGGAAATGACTCAGCCGGAAAAATCCGATTTGAGAAAAATAAATACTTCAAGTAAATCGATCCCCGGTAATTTCTTCTTTCACGCTCAGCAATCGGTTAATGCTGACCCGGAAAAATTCACTGAAAAATTTTCTGCGAACTACAAAAAATTCTTGCGAAATCCTATTAAAAAAACAATATGTCTCTTATAAATATTCGCCTAGTCCGCAACAAAATCAAATACCTTTCCCCAGAAAATTCAACAAAATTCTTTCACTTGTGTAATTTTTTCTGATTTTTTAATCAGTGCTCAGTACACTTGAATTATTCGGGTTTATCTCCGCGGACCGAGAAGATTAGTCACTTAGAATCAGAAAGCCTCTCTCCATGCGTCATTGCATTCGCGGTATTAAGTCCTTGAAAAAATTATTACTCCACTGAAATCCCCTGTTAAACGAATTTACTCGAGGGAATAATTTAAATTGTCAATTTTTCAACAGCAGTTCCGCATTTATTTCTCTTAATTAGACGTGCTGGTCTGAAATCATTTTTTTGCGTAATTGCATTCGTTGTTTTGGATTATAATTTTATTGGAATATTGAATTGAATATTTTCCGTTGAATGAGTGTAATTTTTTTCATCATTATCACTTCCATTTTTTGTTAGAATTACTTATTCATCATTGATTATGTTGTTACGTCAGGCGAATGCGCCGATCGATTACGAATTTTTTTGTTCAATGGATTCTGATCGGTGCACCTCGGTCTTCCGATAAACGTACGTTTAATTGATGGAATTACTCGTGTGGAAAAATACACATGCCGGACCAATTCTGCAGACTTCTCGCCTCTGAATTGAAAATTAGAGCTTTCAATTAAGAGATCTTTTCCGGTTGTTTGATCATTCAATGTCTGCATGTGATAACCCATTCAAGAATGTTCCGCCCCCTTTTAAAAAAATGCCGTCTATCAAATTTCTTCGACAAATCATTGACGGGATAATTGACGTGCGAAAATAGACGGTTTGATCGTTCAATCAAGAAATTCCATCGGAAAACTCGTTTGAGTTTTCCGATCTTTTTATGGGGTTTCCATCTTGAAAGTAAAATAACCCGAAGGTTTTGGCTTGCACTTCCAGTGACGTAAATTATCTCCAAAAGGAGATATTTTACCTCCCCTGGGAATTTCCCGGTGAAATCACTTTCTTTGTCCGGACACGAAAAAATGAATGACAAGTGAGTGATAAATGGAAGACTGACTGAATAGAAAAGCTCCCGACATTTCCGGAATATTGCCGCTGTTTCCGTTCAATCGTGGATTGTTCAAACGGAAACAAATGGTCTTATCTCCTTATCTCAAACCTTTTCTCGGCAGCTCCAGACGGTAATCTTATTTCGAAAAAAATCATCTTCCATTCAATATTGCGCTGTTTCATCCCTGGAATTCCAATTTTCTTCTTTAAAGCTCAACGAGAATTTATCGAACGTATTACTATCCTCGGAACTCAACAAATTTATTTATTTATTTATTTATCTATTTATTTATTTATTCATTTATTTATTCATTCATTTATTTATTTATCTATTTATTTATTTATTTATCCGTGCTGTTCCTTCCCCGAGATACAGAAAAGTTTTTCCGCAGAATTCAATCAGAAAATTAACTTCAGAAATTATTTATAATTAATATTAAATCATTTCTTCTGTTTTTCAAACAAAAAAAAAAACAATACAACTCTGAACAATTAAACTTTGAGAAAAGTTATCCGGTAATTCAATTTATTTTCTCGGAACTCCGTCTACTTTTACGGTGAATTAAAAAATTAAGATCGCATTCTCAAATTGTAATTTTCTCGATTCAATTGCATTTCGATAAAAAAAAACGTAAAACCTCAGAATTTCCTGCATGATACTCCTATATCCAATATTTCCAAAAAATGTAACGAGAAATTTCAGGGAAAAATTAAGGGAGTGTAGCCTAGCCCTAGGGTTTCGCTATTTTTCTGATTAAACTGCGATTTTTTTTGTTTTCCCTCCGAAAAATTTCAATTACTCTCATACAACAATGGCCATTATATATTTTAAAATTCTCAAAAGATCGGTGGCCTATCCCAAAGTGTGAACACGTGCCAGATAACGAACAAAACCTCAAGGTCATCCGCGCATTAAAATAAAAAGATAAATGCCGCGAGTTTTTGATTTGTCGATGTGACACAAAATTCTTTAAACATTGTATTTTACCTCCAACTCGACTCCACAGCTGTCTCCTCTTCCTGAATAAATAAACAACCGGATTTTAACGAAGCACCCGTCAATCTAGGGGATTTCAACCCCCACAGCATCACCCCGGGAAAACGTCGATATCGCGTCACTTCATCAGCCCTCGACTTGCCGAAAAAAATACACCCCTATTAAATTATTAAATTCCCAATGAAATTTTTTTTCGAGAATGAAACTCCGTCGTCTTGCGAATGTGAGTTTCGCAATAACTGGTCTCTATCGCTGGTGCAAGGATGACGGATATAAAACCGTCCAGAGAGATCTCAAAACCTCCGAAGCGCCACAAGGTGGAGGTACCCCCAAGTTTTCCATCGCGGGAACATTTAAAAATTCAAATCTTCAATTGCCTGAACATTTATTCTTACCCGCCATTCCGTCCAGGAGTCGTCTGGAGACTTGGAAAAATATAGAATGATGAAAATTCATCAATTCATTATCAATTCATTATCAATTCATTATGAAAATTCACCTCAGCTCCTGATCAGGTACTGAACCAATCTGAAATTAATTACAATTAAATGATAATTAAATTATAACAAAAATGGCTTACCTGAGCTGTGAGCTGAATCCTCACTCTCCATTAAAATACTCGATAACTCCAATCAGGCACTGACTGATAACTGATCAGGCATGCAAGATTTTTCCACGATAAATTAAATCGTGAGTGTTGCTATTTTCAAGAATGATGCTCGTCATGTTTCTATTTTATTCGCCACCTTTTCAGTGTGCGCCGGAGGATATGTGTCATGTCCATTTCACCATGAAATATTACGACTCGGTCACACGATCGATGGGATAAGGGATGCAGTGACGCGTGTACATGCCCTCCCCTTATTTCTGTGTACATGTACGAGATGGTGAGAGGGGTGAGGGGATGGCTGAAGAATTCAGTAAAGTCGAAAAGCCACAGGGGGACAAAGTGAACGAGGGTGGTCAAAAGGGGATGAGATAGAGCTCTGGAAATTCCCGTGCAGGAGAGGTCTCTTCTTTTTTATTCGGCCTCTGTATCTACAGCTGTAGCGATATCGAGGAGAAATGGCAAAGCGAATTGTTCGTTTATCTTGGCAGTTGTACGGTACGTGGTCGGGGGATGATTCACGCTTGGGACGCATCTTCATCGGGACTGAAGGGAGGAAGGCCTTCTTCGGGGGTTGGGGACAGCAGTAAAACCAGAATGTTGACTCCACCCTAGGGTCTACTTCATTTTCTTACTTCACTTCATGTCAACGCTTTCCTCAAATTTATAACGCACTTCTCAGTCGCTTTTTGCACCGCTGATACCTCGGGCTGTCGACTTTGCCGCTGTCATTTACCTTGGAAATGACGAAATTTGAGGATCACGAATGTCTCAAAGGAAAACCTTCTCCTGGGACCAAGTCTGCATTTATGTTCCGGTGGTTATGCATTTTTTCCTTGTTTATTGTTCTTGGGATTTATTTTTGGTTGAAATCTAGTGAAAGTAAAAATTTTTATTACATCATTTTTTCATTGTTATTCAATTAAATTGGTTTCACTATTTTTTCAATTCTTAATTTTTCTTTCCGTTTAATTCTTCATTTTTATATACTGGGGCTCATGAAATTTCAATTGCTAGTCCCATCACCGCAATTTTTATTACAACCTTCACCAGAAGTAACAGCGATGTCAATAAAACGGTGGAAAAAAAAAATAAATAAACAAAGAATTCCCGCGATACCATCGAAGCCACCTCAGTACACATGAAAACAACAGTAAACCCGTATCATCTGAGACAATTGCATACCCTCACACGCGTCAAATGGTCCCCGGGGAATATGAAATTCCAGAATGTCAATAAAACTATATTCAGTGTCTAGGCCAAAATGAAATTCGTATGAGCACAAATACCGGGGGCTTACAACCATCGCAATTCTTTATATCCAGTGTATCGAACCACCCCTCCTTAATTTTCTCAAACCCCCTCCATTGAATTAACCAGCAAATTGACTAACGTCCTGGATTTATCCGGCTTGACCCCTCACCGCACGTGACAATTTCCCAAAACTTTCATTTCTGTTTCCACACCCCCTCGTAAAGCTCTTTGAAGCATTAACTCAAGTGTCGCGACTATTCATTCGTTTATCTTTGGAGTTTGCTACCCCCCACAGCCCCCCTACACCCACCCCCCTACCCCTCCACGATGATTCACAATTGGGGGAATAATGGATTCTATCCGAACTGTCCGTGAGATTTTTCTATCTCATCTCCCTCGTCGCTCTTCAACACCCGAAGAATACTCGAAAACTCTTCAAACAACAACAACAACCCTGCCACCCCCTATCTACTTCTACCTCCCTATTGCTCACCCCTTACCACCCCCTCGTTACAAAAACAAGAGGGAAATTGCTGACGTTTTCGGTTTTATCACAGATCCAATCAAAATTGCGTAATGATTAAGAAAATTTCAAATTTTCCATTCTTCCGGGGGGAATTTTTTGGTTTATTTTTAACATTGCAAATATCAGGATTAATTTTATGTCGTCGGTATATTATTTATATTTAACTTTATTCCGCGGAATTTCCAGTGATTGAATTGAAACCGTCAGAGTTCTAAAAAAAATGACAAATTTTCGGGGAATCACATGAAAACGAAGCAATCCCCCAATTTCCACAAAAAACATTGCAAATGCCCACAAAAATTGCATTTCCATTCAATTTCATTATTTAGCATGCGGACAATTGGAGAAAAGGTACATTAAAAGTTCCATACGACAACAATATATGAATGCCGCATTTCCCAAACTTTGATCGAATAATAAATGAACATGTTAAAATAAAATGAACCACAATAAATAAAATAGAAATCTAAAATTCCGTGAAAAAATTCACAAAAAATTCAAAAGTCATAAAAAAAAAAAAACGCCCATGTCCCGATACTTCATCCTAAACGTATTTCTATCGATCGGAAGAATCTCAATTGGACCGAAACAGAAATTGTTCTCTCTTCAACCGATACACAGAGGGGGTAGGGGGATGCGCGCATGACTGTGTCGGATTGTTCGTTGGGGTCGTTCCCTGAAAGGGGGATGATTCACTCTACTCCACTTTAGTGAGTGCTTCGTATATCAACGAATCGGCTTTTGGGGTAAAAGTCTTGACAGGAGGGGGGAGGGAGACGGCGCCCCCCCCCAGGGGGTGAAGAAGAGGTGAATTGGAATAGAAGGGAAACAAGTAGATTCATCCGTACAATTTTCCTCGAGATCGTGATCCATCTTTTCGAATTTTACCACTGGCATCCCCGCGGCATTCTCAGCATCCTCTTGACTCCTCTGGTGCATCCCACCCAGGCCACCCAGGCCACCCCCTGGAGGCTGCACCTCAGAGCCGATAACATACGCAACTTGTGTGGTACACACTGGGACTGCCTGCAAACTAACACATCGCAGCGACGACATCGATTAGCCATCAGCTTCTGCGCTCGGACCCGCGACTCTGCACCACCCCCTGGCCACCCCCTCGTCACCCCCTCGCCATTCCCTTGCCGCCCCCTCGCAACCCCCTTGCCGCCCCCTCGCAACCCCCTTGCCACCCGCTTTCCAGTCCTCCCACAATCCTCTCTCGTCCCCTCATCTTCTGCTCCCTCGTTCGCGCGAATATATCCCAGTTAACTCAGACAATTCAAAAAAGAGGATCAAGATAAAAAAAAATTGGATTAAAAAGAGTACAGTGACCGGGAGACGAGCGACGGGGGGTGGGACACTGGGGGATGGTGGGTGATTGGGTGATACTGACGTTCAAAATTTCATCGAGAAAATCCCCGTATCTACTCAGGTTGAATTGAAATATCGATTTTACGTCGTTGTCTCGACGTAACAACGTCCACGAGTGCTCGACGGTGCGTAAACCTCCCCCTGTATTCCCGTGACGAATTTTTCCGTCTCCAGAGGGGGATGGGGGTTGCATTTGAGGCACTCAACTGACACCCAGAACTAAAACCCAATGACGAGCGGTGTCAGTCGAGAAAATCGATCTATCAACGGTTGTTTGGGGTTGGTATATGTATTTTTTTTTCGAGGGGGGTTTTGGGGGTGGTATTGATGGCTCGTCTTCGGGGGGAGGATGGCATGGGGAATAATTAGAGATTGTTTTTACAAGCACGTCGATTTATATAAAGAGCTGCAAAGCACGCATATGGTACAGAAGATGGTTTTTCATGGTTTTTGGTTTTTATTTTTTGGTTTGTTGATTTTGTTTTGAAGTGATTTTGAGATGTTAGATGGCGGCCAGTCGGAGAATCAGGATGGGTCCCAGGGAGAGATGGAGGGAGCCCAGTAGTTGTACTCCGATGGATGATGAGTTGAGGTCTGTAATTTAAAAATTGGATATCTGGGGTTAATTTGGTGTGGAGTTGGGGGAATCACCGGCTATTTTCACAGGAGAGGAATTTATTTACAGGGATTTTTACGCCGATTGGGAACGACTCTTCAGGTCGTTTCCCTTGGTCGCTATTGGTCCCGTAATCGCAATAAATTAAAAGTGATTTGACAATTTAGAGATGGTCTATCCCCTTTTAACTATAATCACCGTTTTTTTTTTTCAATTTGCTGACAAATTGTTAATCAAATGATCATGCCATGAAAACCCACGGATGACTCCCAGATTTCAGCGGAAAATTCCCGACCAATTAGCGTCCGATAATCTGAATTCGCCAATTAAGTATTTTCAGGAATGACTTGAATAAACGGAATGAATTTTTCGTGAGATCGATCCGCCGAAAAAGCCGTGGGACGTGGATAGAGACGGGCAAAGGGGATAAAGAGATGAGAGAGACTGGTTGAAAAGTATACGAGGAGAAAAGAAAAAAAAAAAATGGTCACAGGGAGACAGAGGGCTGGGTTAAATTACCTTTGACGTCGAGATGCCCGTCGGGCTTACGTTGGCCAGTCTGAAAGTTCGGGGGTGGTTGAAGGTAATTGACGCCAACGATCGTTGCCGCTGGTTCAAGCTGTATAACCCTTGGTCTATCCTCCTCAGTACTAACCTCTATACTCTGCCAGTAAATGTCGTAGATTGATGCACTGCAACGTATCTTGAGTTTGCCAGCAGCAAAGTGCTCGTGATTTACCAAAAATTGTAATCCAACTCTCGCCGTCTCCCAGTCTGCGTCATTCGTATCCGATGGATTGTAAACGCGTACATGCGACTGGAGTGGCTGCAAATTAAAATTCATCAATTAAACCACTTTAAATCATACCGCAACCGATTTCCGTATCTCAAATTCATCGCGATAAATATTCACTGCAAATAATCCACTGTCGATTGTATTTCGATGGTGTTTAATTGTTTTTATGGACATTTTTAGGGAATTATTCACTCGCGGAAAATCAGAGGACGAAGGAAAGTTATTAATTTTTAGGAATTTATCGTCGGTAATTTATGGTAGGTGAATTTATTTTGGGATTTGCACTCGTTATGATTATTTGATTTTTGACGTTTAAGTGCCACGATTTTTAACTGAAGGAGATTTTTATCCTTTGAAAATAATCGTTAGAGGGTAAATGGATTCATATCTCCGTTCCTGGAAGTCGAAGGAACAAAGATATGAATCTGTTTTATGGCCCGCAGAATCGACCATGAAATGCTTTTTTATAAAAAATTAATGAACCAATGGGAAACCAATGAAAAAAATTCTTCAATTTTCCCGGGATCTATCTAATGGGTCATAAAACGGATGTATTTCTCTGTTCCTTGGAGTCTAACGACCATTTTCAAAAAAGAGAAAAGTCAATTTGATGCTCTCATTTAAGAATCTCAACGATTTTAAATGCAAAAACGATAAATTTGGTTTTTTAATGTCCCTTGAAATATAAACTAAAAAATGTTTACCACTTCATGAAAATTTATGAATTAAAATTAATGAATTCATTTATTCACTCATTAATTGATCTATCATATTCATCGCGATATTCATAACGAACCCTAAAAATAAATTCTCAAATTACAATCAATACCTCCACCTCAATAAACCCGAAAAATTCCCCACAGATACCACCACCCCCTCCATCCCCACCCTATAAATACCCAGATCAATTATCCACGAAATAAATAATTACCCCAATCCCGAAAACCTCAAACAAGTTGCACAACCCCGCGACGAAAACCGTGAAAAAAAAAAAATGATTTCCACTTGCCTCAAACAATTGGCACCTGAAATCGAAACAAAAAATTTGAAAATCCCTATCGAATATAAAAAATGGAATAATCCCTGAGAAAATATCTTACCTGTCGATCGTTGACATACCACGTGAGATTAGCGGCTGGTCTGCTCTTACCCAAAGTACAATTTAATCTCAAAGTATCATCGATCCTGTACTTCCTCTTGAGTCCCTGAATAGCCGGCCTCTGACTGGGTAATTCTGCGGCAAATCAGATCCCAAGATTTATAAGAGAAAAACTAAAAAAAAATCATTAAATAGGAATAAAATATTGTTATTAGCATCACGACACTGGCAACTGGGCTCAATTATAAAGAGCCCCTCCACAGGGATCGACGATAAACCCAACCACCACAAAAGCTAATCGCATATACCGACGGCTCGGTAGGGTGGTAGGGGGGTTGACTGGGTGGTTAAGGGGGTGGCAACTGTATGTACTCATCAATCTCCGTTTCACCGGCATTAACTAAAACGCAAAAGCGTTAGTGGGCAAGTGACGGCGGTGGTGGATAGTTGCGGTGTATGGTCGGGATATACCCGTCCCTTCATATTCTAACCCCCATCCACCCACCCCCTCGCCCTTTTCGAAAATCCCGCATAATAACATTTTCCCGTTCATTAATTACGACTCCAGGAACCTGTGCAACCTAGTACTGAGGCTTTCGCTCATTAATTAGCCAGTACCTAGGTGCATTTTGTTCATTAATTACACCACCACCAGATGCTCCTTGTTTTCATTCGTTGCCACCCCCTTTCTACCCCCTCCTCGTTGGGTTTCCTCGCCCGGACCTACACCTTTTCTTATCCTTTTTACCCATCCTCGGTTACTTGAATTTTTTTTTATTCCACTTCTAGTTACTCTTTTGTTAAAAAAGAACTTGCACTTGTTTCTTGGGTTTTACTTTGAAGATCGTTACTATCTTAACCCACGAGTTTAGAATCAATTTAAAGCGCTTTACGAGGTGGACAGAGGGGGTGGAAGGGGTGAAATGGTTGGAAGGGGTGGTATGAGGTGGAAGGGGTGGAATGAGGTGGAAGGGGTGGAATGAGGTGGGTGAAGGTGGATAAATTTCCAGTGATTTTATTAACTCACCAACAACATTCATTGTTCTGTATACAATGGCGGTGTGAAAAGAGGGTGCGTCCTCCGATACCTCGCAGCTGTAATCACCAGCAGCATCAAAGTCCAGGTCCATCAGGCTCACTCGTGTTGCATTACTCTCTCGTAGCTGTAAGTGGAATTGAAAAATCACTTGGTGAAAATAATAAAGTACGGAACATGATGGAGTTGAGGGTGGAAATTGTACGGTCAGTGTACCTGGGGCTCAAACTGTATCTAATCGCCAAATCGCACGTCTCCGTCGACGCAGCCACCCCCTTTTACGTTCCTCCGATGCGTCGTCACGCAAACCAACAACCCCTCTTTATCGAGGGGTTCAACATCACCAACAATCACCCACACGTGACATACGGAAATGTTTTTTTGATGGCTTTTTAAACTCCCACTGAATTTTTCTATTTCAGGGTCAATGAATTTTTTAATCTGTCCTGGGGGAGAGTATCCAATTTTTTTATCGTGGATAAATTATAATGCAAGTTTTAGGGGGATATCTTTTTGTTCGGGAATTTTATATTTTTAAGACCAGAAAATAGAGGAAATTGAGATATTTTTCAGGTTGTGAAAATTCGAGGGCATTTTATGCCCGATTTTACGAGTCGGACAATCCGAGGAATTGTTGGAGGGATAATTATTATTCAACGCGGAGAACCCAATTTTCTGATTAATTAATGGAGGAATCAGAGAATTTATTCAACATTCGGAGAAGGACTCCTCGGGATCTTAAATAAATGATAAATTGAATGATATTTAATATCCAATTTTCCTGATGAGACTGGAAATCGAAATTCCCATAGAAAATGAGAAATCCGATTTTCATGAATTTTTAAGGTGAATTAAAAATTCAGAGAACATTGTCGCTTCGAGGTATTTCTAATAATGTCTGTGGAAAATTATTTTTCGGCCTGCGGGAAATTTATACCACGAGTTGAAAGCAATGAAAAATTACTGTTTCTCAGTGCAGCGAGAAATTAATTCCCCACCGACAGAAAAATTCCGAAAAAATTTCATGAGAGTCCCATATAATTCTAGAGAGAAATCCCATTGCGTTAAAAATAACGGAACGAGTCTGTATTTCAAAAGAAATTATCCGATTCTTCATTGAATAAATGAGAGCATAATTCGCTCTAAATTCATGAATGTAGTTTTTATTCCAGAATTAATCGTGGACTAGCTATCAGATTTGTTGGGGAATTTCAGGAAAGGAACTGATATCACTGGATCAACATTTTTTTTCGGTTATCAAAGAGAGAAAAATGAGGAGCGAATAATACAAGAGGGGAATAACGAAATGAATAGGTTTTTCCGCGCTGAAATGATTGACGTATCATCAATGTATCCATCAGCTGTCATCTCGTTAATTAGTGATTTATTCATTATTGATACGTCCGATGGATGCATTTGATTCCGCTTTGTTCTACCATAACAAAAAAATAAATAACATCATTGTCTTTATGCTAAAGCCCTAAAAATACTGTGGAAATATTTTTTGTAATTCTGAAATTATCGGAGCGAAAATTCCACTGACATCCGACATCTCCTGTCATACCCATCTGTAATCTCTCATTTTTTTTATTACAGCTGACTACCTTTATTGACTTCGTTGGTTTTCGTGGATCAATGTCAAGATAATAATCTGAACTGTTGAAGAATGGAAAATATTCTAACGAGGGAATAAGTTTGATGGATTCAACAATTTTTTTTTTTCGGGGGAAAGAATGAGGAGTGGGTAAAAATAGAATAGAAATAGAAATGAATGAATAAATAATTCACGGAGAAAACCTGTGGTAAAGTATAATTGAAATGAAATAGTAACTAATTCATTGTGGTAACTTCTCATAAATAAATTTGATCACGCAATAAAACGTTTTGGAATATCATGAGAATTCTATCAATCGAGATTAAAAAAAATGCGGGTCGATCAAGTCAACTTTTTCTCAGTCCTTTTGGTTCAATTTTCCACCGGTTTTTTTCGTTATTTATTTACTCTTTCTTTTTGTCACATATTCCTGTTGACTTTTTTTTGTGTAAATATGTAGATCGTTATCTGAGCTGTTGAAGAATATGAAAAAGAACAAACTCGTTTGATCAAACGATGTTTTATCGTTTAAATAAAGAAAAATCGATAATTGAATAAACAAGTCGGTATGAAATATTATTATTGCTAGATTTTGTGGATTCCATCTCTTTTTATTACTTTTCCATCTCTGATTGGAATTATTTGAAAGCCTGCTGTGGGAAAAATATTTATATTCACGAGATTTTCCCGGGTTTTTTTTATTTCCGTTAAAAAATTGCGCGCATTGAAATTAATATTCTCAATGAAAGTCTGTACTTTCGTTATCGAGGGGATTCATCTAGGAATTCACTCGAATTTTCACTTTCAAAAGTTCGTGATTGTCCACAGCTTTTTAATTAATTCAGTCAGCCATACGATTTTTTACAACGGAAAGTCGTAGGGAATTTTTTTTTTCAACTTGAATTAACGAACAATTTATTTAATAATTTATAAAATTTTTTGGATGAATGAATGATAATGGCGAATTGATTTGTCAGACAAATTTTTTAAAAATTTCTATTTTTCTCACTGTGAGTAAAAGGGGAGTGAAGTGGTTGAATTGAAAGTGTGAAACGAAGTATCAAAGCATTACCCTCACCGAATTTTCCCAATCAAAAAATATTTTCCCAGTATTGTGAAAACCACTACCCCAGACCAGATCGCCCTATTCAATTCCGCACGAAATTCGCCTCGACTTCACCAGAACAGAAAAATGCATTCTCTCTAAAGAAAAAGAAAACGTGAGCGTCCCCGAAGCCAAATTGTGCAATAGTGATTCTCATTTATTTACACAATATTGTTTGCGCAATTGAAAAGGTCTAGTCCCCATTCGTCCCCTGAACTGTATTCCCCGCTGTTAGAAAATTAAGCACAAAACTTTCCAAGGAAAATAACTTGAAATTTTCAACAACAAAACCAGAAATTTCTATAGACTTTCAAATTCCTCTGTCTGACGAAAATAAATCACTTCTCCTTTATTTATCCAAAAGTCATAATAAAACGCACTCTCAAATTTTTCTCCCAATTAATCTGATATTAATGATTAAAATTATTAATATCAGAGCTCATAAACAATCTCTAATGATTATGATTCTCACATAAAAAAGCGAAAGAAAATCCATCCCGAAATATCTCGAAATATCTCGAAATATTTCAAAAAATCTCAAAAAATTTCAATTCCGTAATTCAATTGATTTTTCAAAGATAAAAAAAAAGGAAAAATAATAGATAGTTTACGGACTTACATTGACTTTAAGATTTCCAATGGGAAATGTCTTGTCAGGCGGTGACTCGTTGGGTGTATAACGATAAAATTCTCTTCCACTCTTGTACCACTTGACCGTGTACAGCTTAGAGCCTTCCAAGTCATAGTAGCAATTTAACACCGCGGAGTTGCCCTTCTCCACAGCCGTCGGTGTCTGCATGTGCACCTCCTTAAGCCCCGAGCAGATACCTGTGAATACGAGAAAAACCGACCAAATGTTCCTTTGAATAAGATATCAACCAACGGGCTCTTCCGCATTAAAGCCAAGAGAAAACGATTGCTTTTTTAACGGAGCTCTCCACTCCTTCGCCCTTCCCTTCACCTTTAATCTTTTTTCCACCCCTTTGTTTTCCCTCCTTTTTTCTCTCTTTTTTCTCTCTTTTTTTCTCTCTTTTTTCTCTCTTTCTTTCCCCCCTCTCCCCCCACTTTTCTCTCTCCTTTTTTTTTATCACACTCGCTTCATTGCAATTGTAGACGTATATCCGAAGAGAGTCTACAGAGATTTCCTCGGGAGAGTGTCTGCCTTCATTCTCCTCGGGACGACAATCTCACGGGAATTTTACCGAGCGAGATTGTGCGTTCTACCTACCCTTATTACGCACCACAGGGAAAACGAAAAAAACGAGAAAAAAAAAAGAATTCACTCCCTCTCCTTCCCACTCTCTCCCAACTCCACCCATTTCTCCCATTTTGCTGGCATATTTTTATCTCCACTCGTGTTATTTTATCTTCCGTAGGGGTGATTTTTTTTTACCCCCCAGACAATTCTCCAGGATGACCCGGATTATTCAATACCTAAACGCGCGATAAGAGAATAGACAAATGACAGTGGTAAAATAAAAAGAAATAAATAAGCCACCCAACAGGTGAAAAATTCCCAGAAATTAATCGGGCATTTTCGGTGGGTAAAATTGACGTAGTCCATGATTAATTATTCAGTGAATCCGAGCGACGGGATGAGGGCAGATGGGAATCAACACATACGGGTGAACCTTACATTTTAATAACCACCCCCACCCCTCTATTCACCCTTTGTTTATTCATCCCTATGTAATGGCAGTGTTTTAAATATCAAATGAACACAGCAAAAGTTTGTTATTCGGTTATCCATGAATTATTTCAACAGCGATAAAACGGTGGACCAATTTATTCTCAACAATTTTCAGTGTTATCCCTTTGATCGAAAATCCCACCTACCGTAATGCACGGTAAAATCCAGAGTTTTGATATGGCAACGTATAATTGATAATGTACTTAACCAAGTTTTCCCTGAAACCGTTGCACATACATATAATTTTTATTCAAAGTTGGCAAAGGGGGGTGAACGGGGGGGGGGATGGACGAGGGGGAGGCAAATTTAATCAGGCAAAATTAAAGCGAAACGCCTCGCGTGTATCTTTTTTATGATTTTTTGCCTCTTCTTTCACAGCCCGTTCGTTTTACCTCCCATAGTTCTTTTTTTTTTTTAACGGGTGAATCTTCTATCTACCTACAATTCTTTTCATTCTCCGTCTATCCTAATTCCGTATACTATTCATGCCTTCTATCCGGTGGGAGAGAAATCAGGGGGTGGGATATATACGCACTGTTCATCGGGGCTTGAATAATCCCCCTCTGCCCTGTTGGCATCGAGCATCCAATCACGAATTGGCATCATTCACGGTATGAAAGATGGATCGATCAATCGACACCATTAGGAATTCTAATAATAACAATCACTTCAATCGCTTCTTATGTACATTCACGTCTCAGTTTGCTCGTGCCATGAACAAATCCCTCGGTCATTCGTATTTTTAATACCCCGGGGATCTTTTTCTACTATTAATCATACCAATTTTAACTTGATAAATCATCCATATAAAAATTACAACTCTCCAGTGGTTTCCAATCATTTATTTTCACATTTTAAAAAATTGGATTCAAAGAAAGATTGATGGTCGGTAATAATCATTTAACAGCGTAATAAAATTGGTGATATTTTCAGGGTTTATTGAAATTCCAATGAGAACGAATCCTACAATTTTGATAATAATTCAAAAATATTTCTCGTTTTATCTGAATAAATAATTCCGTGTTTGCAGTTTATTTTTTCATTTATTCAATTTTAAAACAAAAAATTAAAAACCATAAGAGAGCGATGAAAGTAGTTGCAGGGATTGCGGGCTTCCGGGTGTACCCGCTGGGGAGGAATTTTCGGGTTTCGTGTGAATTTTCGATCGGTGAAATGGATAAGTAATTCCCCGAGTTAAATCGTCCTCGGAGGCATGGTAAATCCCGTTAAACCCCTCGCCCCCATGTCTCACGCATTGTCCCGCATCTGAGATAAAAAATTGAATGATATGAAAAAAAAAAATAATTCAAGACCCCGTATGAATTGATTGAGCACTGCAATCCGTACTGTCACTTTCACTGGGACTTGTTTGATACAATAGCCCCGAGGCCTCTGTATACACACAAGTCAGTCCACATGAAGCCCAGAGGCTATCACGAAAGCGCCGGCACGCACAGCCAATGTATCGTGCCTCATTTTATCGTGGCGTGATTTTTTTTTTCTCCTCCCTCGCCTCCCCCCCCAGCCGTGATTTAACGAAATAATAAAAATCAATGGCTTCATTCACCGAACAACAGGACAACCACCCCCCAACGCAATTCCCCGTGAACTTAATTAACCCTCAATTTTCCGAGCACATCCCCTGTCCCAGCTCTCATCCCCCTCATCCCCCTCATCCCCCTCATCCCCTGGGAAAGGTAAAAATGACAAACTATCACTCACCGACGATATGTGCAAGAATGACGAGTCGCAGTTCCATCTGTATTTACCTATCGAATATTTTCGATTTATCCGTCACAACTCCTCACCACAATCACCACTAAAAAAATAATGGGAATAATGGAAATCCTCAAGGGCGATAGCCCCCAGAAGCTATTGTACCGCTTTTCAGTCTCAATGGATAAAGCACAATGTCTCGCATGACTAGACGGTTGTAGTGTCTGTACCCGGTGAACCCCCGTTGAGGTCTATGGCAACACTGAGGGATCCTCCCGCGGCAACATCCCCTTACGTAATACCAAGAGCACAAGGACCCGAATGCTGCTTGATACCCTTCAATCCCCCTCCAACAGGGGGTAGTCTACCACCACTTTCACAAGTTCCACCACCTCCACAGCCTCCACTACCTCCACTACCTCCACTACTTCCACAGCCTCCACCACCTCCACCACCTCCACAACTTCCACCACTTCCACAACTTCCACCACTTCCACCACTTCCACCAACCTCTACAACCCCCTATCTCTCGGCGATGGATCCTTGGTGTTTTGGGGCACCCTCTCACTCTCTCGTCTGTCGTCGTTGTAGTCGTCGCTCTAGTATACGTTCGATGAATCCGGCTTTTCCCCGGTCTTCGCGCAGAATCAATTTCACTCCAGTGGTGGATAGAACCCCGCGCAAGCGCTCGGCAAAATATGAACCCCAAGGCTCTCCCCACCCTTCAAATAGCCCGTGTAGTGTAATGCCTCGATATCAAAATAACGTCAAAACTACCTCCACCTCTTGGCATTTCGTCTCCTTCTGGAGGGCTTTCTCCGTTGGTTCTTCGGTTCGTGTGAATCCACCACTGCGAGGATTCAATCCAATACCACTTCAACGTGCGGATGATATTCCTCTTTCTCTCTACCTTCTGCTTTATCATCAAACTCATACCCCAAGGTTTTACCATCTCTCTATGCAGCTTGATAACTCTATTCCGTTTTAATTGAGACGTGACTACGGGGACACTGAATTTTTAAATCACAAACGAGAAAATCACGGGTTGAGAAAAAATTGGGGGAGAATTAAAACAGCGAGACCTGATGAATGATGAATATATTTTTCTGGTGAAACTCGGGAATTTCCACGGTGAATTATGGGGTGAATTATGGGGGATGGAGGGGGTGGGATTTACAAGTTTAAGTTGGATTCTGGGAGTTCTGACCGGATGTCGGGGTGATCGATGGCGGCTAGATCGGGAACAGCAGTCGCTCGTGTTCCGTGGAAAAATTGACCGAATCCGTGGGTTCTTACTCCCTGGTGATTTGCCGCGAGGTGTCAGGGGGTTATGGATTGGTCGCTTCGGGGGAACATTTATTTTTTTTTTGTCGGCGACGATCTGACGATGATCCTCATCGAGTTCCGGAGGAAAATCGTAATTATTGGGTGCACCTCCTGGAATTCGCGGTATCGCCGATTTTCCGGATTGGAGGGGAATCGGCCAGGGGAGGGGGTGGAATATCCGGTAATATTTAATTAAATATAATTTCATGTTGGAATTAGGGAGCAAGTTCTGAAAAGTTGCGGAAATTTTACATTTTTCCTCAGGTTATAGAATTTTTTATTAATAATATTAATACGAAATTATTGTATTTGTTTGGGAAATAATGTTTGAGTACTTTTGAATTTTTTTCCCTCCATTTTTTCCTTTTTTTTTGTAAAGAGAATCGTAATAGAATTTCGTTAATTGACTTTGGGTAATGAACACAGTTGTTTTATTCATAATAAGGAAGTTGTTAATTATCGCTTTGCCATTGGAAGTTGTATCCCAGGATGATTATTCAATAGATAATTGTAATTTAATGATAAAATCAATGAAGCTTGTGAATTTCGGGCTAATTACCCCCTGCAATTACGTGAAAATTATAAAACCGTATCCACAAAGAAATAAAGACTTTCGATTTCCCCTACAAATTCCCAAAAAATTTTCCGGCTTTCCAAAAATTCCTGAGCTTCAGAAAAAGCCCAAAAAAATGACCGCAGGATAAAACGCAAAGTGTTATATTTTTTTGGACGAATTCCATCAATTTTCCAAAAAATTTCCAAAACCGTTAATTTTAGTTTAAATTTATAAAACTCAAAACGTAAAATTTCCGAAAATTGAAGGCCATTGACCCCTCAAGTGAATCTTCCCGACATAAACCGAGTTGTCGAAACTTCAAAGTCCGGAAAGGGGATGGAAACCCCAGGACGCGTACCACACGCGAAATTTAGCGATAACTTTAGGAAAACAGTGGAAAACAACATTGTCACGGATATACGAAATCGTAGTTGCAACAAACAGAGTGATAGAGTGTTGGGATTGAGAGGGGAGGTGAAGGGTGGAATTGGTTTGTACGAAGAAGAGAAATGGGTGGTGAAAGGGCGTATTGGTACGGGAAAGGGTGGACGTTCGAACGGAATTGAAACATATCCGTACACCCTCCGATTTCGGCATTTCACATTGAAACACTATCGACATTTGAATTAATGAATCCGAAAGTTATTCCAACACTATCCCCGATCCATTAAAACCAACACCGATACTAATTGAATTTGTACTTTAGTCCTGAGTAAAGTGTCTCACCACTCGTTACTCCGCTTATTATACTATCTCGCGGAAATAAAAGGGGAACGCGAAATGAAATGAGTCGACGAGACGACTGGAGACGGAAGTAAATAATCCACGGGGTAAAAAGTTTATTAAATTACCTAGGTTGGAACAAAGGAGAGATACGAGGGGATGGAGGAGAGGGAGAAAAATAAATGTCGGTGTAAATCCACTGGCAACAAAGACGTAAACACGCCTCCTCTACTATCACGTTGAGGAAATACCGAATAACCTTAATCCGGTCAGTCACCGATCGGTACATTCATTTCACTGATAACACCGACGTTATTCCGTGTTTACTGTTATTTAATAATCAGCTGTCTTCTCGCCATCGGTCGACATATTTTCCACTTTTTAAAAATCAATTTGTTATTGGTTCATGCTATTTAATAATAAACATAAAATATCATATAAATATTGAAATTAAAACGGTGATTTTTTCATTTTTTATTAAATATTTCCGCCTCGTGTACTGTAGAAAAATAATGATAATAATTTTTTTGTTTTATTGAAAAAAAATTCTATGTCACTTTCCAATGAATTTTTGGTACAAAAAATACAAAAAATATTTGGATTACATTTTTTTTTTATCTGGTTTGTTCTGTGGGTGGGAAAGGGGAGGGAAGGGGAGGGATGGGGAGGGATGGGGTGGGATGGGGTGGGAAGGGGAGAGAAGGGGTGGGAAGGAGTGAGAAGGGGAGAGAAAGGGTAGGGGTGGAATAACTTTGACGAGTTTGTGCAACTCCAAAGTGTTATTCAAAATTGAACGTGTGACCGTATACGCGCGATTGTTGGCAGTCTGATGGACTCTGGGGAGTCGACGGTTATTATGGATATTACCCCGAGAGTATGTTTGTAATAAGTCAAGTTAAGTCGGATTATTCTCTCTCCCTTTTAATGTTTGTTTAACACCTATTTCCAGGGGTTTCAAGTAAATCGTCGAGATGAAATATTTATAATCGATCATTCTGCGTCGACGAAAAATTGTGAAGACTTTTCTAATCCTCAAATTTCCTCAAATCCTCCAAAATCCACACAATTATCAATTCACTAAAATTTCCTGGAATTTGATTTTAAAGAAATTCCAAAGATGAAAGGGAATAGAGAATTTTGTAGATTTTAGCAATAAAAAATCAATTTTTTTTGGAGAACGATTTTTTTGAAAGTTTGACGAACATTTTTGAAAATTTTTTACATTTTTTTAACCCGAGGGTATAATAACGCTCTCGTTAGAATTCTCTGGCCCCTCCGCCCCCAGTTTTCAACCCCCAAATTGCCAATTAGTCATCGATAATTGATTGCGTGAGGGATGCGAGAGAATCACCGAAAAATCTACCTCCAGAGAAACAAAAAGGCAACAGTCGATCGTGAAATGATTGACACATGTGCCATTAGATTGCCGATACATATCAGATCGATCTCTCGTTCTCTTCCCCCTCATCACTTTTATCCTCGACTTTTTACGCTCCCGATACACGCGCGATTCACCATTACGATGTTCATCCATTTTCCGAACTCTCGTCTCTTTATTTTCAAAAAATACAATTTGTTTTTTAATTCCAGACAGAAATCTGTCTAAGGGAATTGTTATTAACAATCATCAGTTAATATGGGAGTACCTGTAAAAAATGTATTGAATAAATAGAAATGTAATTTAAAAAATTCTTTCAATTTCCAACCAATGAAATAAATAATAATTAATAATAATAATTTGATAATTTATTAGAAACATTTTTATTAACCATTGTTGAATTAATGTAGGAATTATAATTATCGGATATTTACCGCGGTGTTGAAATTTCGAGAGTAATTACGCGGCAAATTTCTTGCGGTGAAGTAGATAATTCGGGCATTGGCCAGACGTACTTCGCAACGCAAAAATAATCGCATAAATGCGATATAAATTACACCTACACGAAGTATAACTTCACCCCTCACGATTATTATCCATTCTCTCGTGATGGCCAACTGAAAAAGGTCATAGCAGTGTAGGTGGATAACAGCCTACACCATAAGTGGAAAACCATAAAATCGACGAGACATAAATCCTTGAAATAAAATGGCAGAATTATGAGACAAGTTCCGCCAGTTGAATTGATTATATCCTCCATTCCTCTGACAATATTCCTTCCCCCATCTGATCATTGCTCTTGCCACCAAGGAATGAGCAGGCAGCAGAAAAACTGGAAGAGCAAAGAATTGTTGAATAATTATTACACTGAATTATCTTAATTATTCCATCAAATTGTCATGAGTGCGACGTGTGGAGATTTTTGACGCCTTCTAGACTCCGAAATCAATTCATATTTCAATTTCTTACTCCTCGTGAGATGAATTTAAAATTAATCATCTCGCTAATTAGAGTTCTCATCAGCTTCCAGACGTTAGAATCGATCGGGTAACATTTGTCTGAGAATCCAGAAAGACGAGACAATCTCTGATTGTTGAATTAATTATATTCCAGACACAATAGTACTTTCTCCACTTTATTATTACTCGTTCAATCGTGTGACGTGAACATGAAGAAAGATATAATCAGAGGTTATTCATCCCTTGGTGTCATTTCTGAGAGATCGGGAATACAATTACACCGTTAATTAAATTACCCCTCGGTAATTATTTCGGTCTTCTAGGCACCTGAGGGAATCAATGTTTAGTCAGACTATTTAAGGAATCCTCCACTCCACGAGAGATGAATTAAAAAATTAATTACCCAGGTGCGAGATTATTCCAATTATTTATAAAAATATTCTCGACCTTAGAATTATCATTATTATAAAAAATCGCAGAAATCTGAGACGAATTCCGGGAATTAAATTCATTTTACTCCATCCCTCATTATTCTTCTTATAAAAAAATTCCGGAGTTTCACCAAAAAAAAAAAACATCTAAAAAATCGACAATTGTTTAAATAAAAATCATCCCCCGACTACCCCAGACCCAACGTTTAGTCCGGCAATAAAAAAAAATCGGTGGATCCAAAGAGATGACTAAAAATAATTCTCAAAATCCCCTCCCCCCACCCACCCAAAAATTTTCCGATTCGCGTGTATAAAAATGGAGATGAGAATCGGTGCGTGTTAATCGATAAGAATAAAATCGGTTAAACCGGGTAAAAATTCCTGGAGTTAAATTGATTAAACCCTCAACCCCCAGGTAGTATCATGTCTTCCACTCCATTATTGTCCATGTCATGGTGAAATAAAAAAGATCCAATAGACCCCCGTCATGCGCACCCGGTGACGAAAGAGGCATCACCGTCGGCGTGGGGTTGACGAGGGGGAGTGGGTGTGCAAAAATAAAGCGACTAGAGGGAAAACCGAGGGTCAAACATGGCCCTCGGTCTCTGGGAATAATATCGTTGGACGCGTGCGCGGGTGTTCCTTCCGACAACGATCAGCTGGAGGTAGTGTGTCGACGTCGAGGAAGTGTACAAGAGCCAGTGGCGCCGCGCAAACCGTCGGCACCATTTCTTTATTTACTCTATTTTTTGTTCTGTTTTCTTTTTAACAAAAACACTGTGGCAACGCACACGGGAGTGTACCAGTGGTACTCGTTAGCGTTGAGTTTGAATAATAGAAGAAACATCTGAGAGAAAGGTAAGAGATTGAGGTGGCCGAGGGGGTGGGTGCCGAAAGGGGATTGAAAGTGAAGAGAGACAGAGAGTTAAAAGAGTGAGATCGTATGCGTGGTTTCTGGTACGATGAGACGACGAGGGACAAGGAAGCAGTCTCGTCGTATCGTTAAAACGTCTTGTCCGTCGGCGTCATCGATGCACGAGGACGAGACCGAGGAAGCGGTCCCGGTGAACAGTCAACTCAATAATTTACAAGGGAAAAATATTTCGAGGTATTGTTTACTCGAGGCCACTGGGCTCACGATGAGGGTGTGAGCGAGAGAGATAAATACAGGAAGAAAGAGAAACCGATAGAGACATATTGCCAAAGCCCATGTACGCAATCGCGGGATTTGCCCCACGTGAAATAATGGCATCTCATGGTTACGCCTTGATTTCACTCTTTTTCATTGGGGCTGTGGGTCTCTCTGTTGATGGGCGCAGTTATGGTACACGGAGATCCACTGGGGATGGGGTTGCTGGTGCTTCAGCAGTCAATGAATTGCCCATGCATGGACCCAGTGCTGATAATCAGGGATTGCCTAATAATCTGGGGGAGGCTTATCCAGGAAAAAATTTTGGCCCCATGGGGCCTGTTGACAGGACATTTCCTGGGCCCGAATCCAGAAATCTTGCCAATGGTGGGCCTCAGGTTGTCGGTACTGTCACCACAACTGTCAAAACACCCAGGCAGTATGAGGTCTTCAAGGTTGAATTCTCAAGAGTTGAAACACCATTCGTCATTGGCATCTGGATTTTCTTCGCTAGTTTGGCTAAGATTGGTGAGTGCTTGATGGAGTTATTACTGTGGTTAACGGTTCTTGAGGAGATGCCACTTGAATGGGTTAGATTGTGATGGTTATTGAAGACGATCTGTGGCTGTTATGGAACGATTGATGGCTTGAGCATTGGACACGAGCCTGGGGGTGGCGGGTTAAGGGGTTGATTTAAGGAGGGATTTCAAGAATACGAGGGAATTGGCTGATCACCAGCAACGGCTATTCATGATCGTTTTATGGATGCGTTTTAGGTCTTCAATCATTCAATTTCTGACGTTTCTCTACTTTAGAGGAATTCCCAGAAAAAAGAAATTTTAAGGAGCTGCAGATCAATTTTCACATGACGGGAATCATGTGGATTCTTGAATATTCTTACTTCTCCTAAATTTAAAATGAACGGATTTTTCATTAGGATAACAATTTTTCGTAGAGTAAATTACACTCTGATTTTATATTGGAGAAATTAGATTAATTGGGAATAAAAATATTCTCTTGATTATAAATGAGTTGAATTCACGAGTTGTGAGGAGTTACGGGCTAATTTCCTCCTCAGGTTTCCACATGGCACCAAGATTGAGCAAAATATTTCCCGAGTCATGCCTTCTGATTGTCGTTGGTGTTGTCATTGGTGTACTACTGTTCCAAGCGAGTGAAGTGCACGTGTCACCATTAACACCAGACACATTCTTCCTCTACATGCTTCCACCTATAATTCTCGATGCCGGATACTTCATGCCAAATCGATTATTCTTCGATCATCTGGGTACTATCCTGCTATTTGCTGTCCTTGGAACAATATTCAATACATTATCCATTGGTAAGTTCACCTTCACCGAGATCTTCAAATCATAATAAGTCGCAGTTTCCCCCGGTGCATGTTTCTAAAATTAATATTAACGCGTGTTACTACGAAAATATTGGACACTATCTCGAAAATGGAGTCTCTCGATCCAAAAATAAACTCCACGAGAGGATGGGAGAGTGAAGAGGATTTCTGTTTTGGATCCGACGTGAAAATTTAAAAACTTCATTCGACACGGAAAAACAACCGGAATATGCACTGTTTGTCTTTTTTTTTTATTTCACTCTGCATTTTTTTTATTTTTTCAAAAGCCCTTTTTTTTCAATGGACAAGATTACTGGATTTGTACACGGTTGACCGATATTTCACGTGTGATGCTCGTAAAATTCAATTTCAATGTTTTTGTTAGCGTTCACAGAACCAATTCGATTTAACGCCGTTTTATTTATTTTTATCCTTATTTTTTTTTACAGGGGAAATTGGGTTTTGGTCATTCCTCCCTTATTTATTGAATATTTATACAAATATGTCGTGATGAAATTCAATTTTTACATTTCCTTATATTTGAATTTTTAAGTGGAGTTTAATTTATTTATCGAATTTTATGGTGGGAGAAAATTTGGATTTGGAGGATGGATTATCAAGCGGATTACGAAATTTTAGTCTGATATACCCGATAATTATTTTGAGTCCAATTAAATTTTCACTGAACTCCCGAATTTCACTGTTGGAGAAAATTGGAAGTTCATCGACTAGTTCCATTTCAATTTTCCGAAGGCTGATATTGAATTCGATTCGGGGAGCTGAAACTCATGGAAATTTGAGTTACAGGTGGGATGCAAGTGAATCCAAATAGTTTTCAGTATAAACGAGATGAAAATTTCACTTTGAATTTCAACTCGCATTACGAAATTCGAATTAACTAAAAATTCGATAATATATCAAAAATCTCTGCTTTCCCTGATTTTCCCAGAGCAATTAAATCATCTCGGGATTATAAATTTTCAAACGAAATTCGAGGTGATAATAATAAAATTCAATTAAACCCCCCCGACCCCCGAATCATCGAGTGAAATCTCTGAAAATCTAGTGATCGAAAAATGAAATATTCCGTCGCTTATCCGATCAAATATTTTCAGACTTAAATTCGAATTTCCTGAAATATCAATCGTAATGCCTTCCAATAATCAATTACCTGAATTTCAATCATCCTCAACTAAACTCCCGAAAATCCGAGAAATTCATGACTTCCAAATGAAATAATAATCGGTTTTCACACCGAACTCTCGAGAAGTGATAAAAATGCCTTATAACCCTCCAAAAATAGGGTATTCCCCGGTGAAAATATTAGTAATTATCCCCAAGTGTAATGCCAATGGACATGTAAAATGATTTGCAATGCAGGTGCATCCCTCTGGCTCCTGGGACAAAGTGGACTATTCGGATGTGATACCCCACTGCTGGCGATGTTTCTATTTTCCGCCCTGATAAGCGCAGTGGATCCAGTAGCGGTTCTAGCCGTCTTCGAGGAGATTCATGTCAATGAAATTCTGTACATTGTTGTGTTTGGCGAGAGTCTACTTAATGATGCCGTCACTGTCGTGAGTATGCGGAAATGGGCGTTATTGGTGGTTCAAACCTGACTATTGAGTCTTGTGAATTGTCAGAGGAGAGTTAGTGCACAAAGGAGGCATCCTTGGGCTTTGGGGATGATTATCGTGGCCCAATTCACCATTCTCTTGGGGATTATTCCTCATCTGGGTACGAATATTCTGATGGGTTAAATTTTACTGATGCATTTCAGGTGTTGTATCACATGTTCGAGACGTACAATGCCATGGAGGCATCCAGCATCACGTACGTCGAAATACTATCGGGATTTGCCTCATTTATCGTTGTTGCTATTGGGGGAACTGTTATTGGAGTTATATGGGGATTCGCTACTGGTTTTGTCACGAGGTTCACTCATCAAGTTCGCGTTATTGAACCCATTTTCATATTTGTTATGGCTTATCTCGCGTATCTTAATGCTGAGATATTTCACATGTCTGGAATATTGGCGTGAGTATTATTCATAGTTGTGTCGTTAACTATTCGTCATCGTTTAATGGTATTCCGTCGTCTTAACGTCGAGGGGAACATGAAAAATTATACATTGAATAAAAATTACTCTTCTCCGCTAAATTTACTGGCTCCAGCAAAATTCAATGTTTTTTAATGCTAATATTTATATACATTTACTCTGCGGTGAGCAAATTTACATGATAGAAGTATTTTTTTTTCTCCGAGCTGAAACCTCAAGTGATGGGGAAAAATTAATTAAGTAAATGGGTCATACGGTGAATGCTTCTCTAAAGATTTTTCGAAATTGAATTTATTTGATAAGAGTTGTCATTTTATATGAATAATTTTCTCTGGCATATCAATTTTTTGATATTAAAAATTGTCAAAATATTTTTCAAAATATTCGTCAGCCTCGGAGGAGAAAATCCTCCAGTTTACGATGGGATGAACAGATCATGGAAAAATTGAAGTCATTTTTTTTTCGGTTTACTATTTTCACAGATTCATGAATTTTGAATAAAAAATTTTTCACGACCCGTTCGATGGATCGTAAAACGGACGCACACCTTTATTGCCCGAAAGTCTAACGAAAATATTGTCAAAATAAAAATGTCGATCGGATACAAATCGGGTCACTCAAGAATTTAGGAGGTGAAAATGAAAATAATTTCGACGATTCTGATTTCCCCACATCTACAATTTATCACTCACCCTAATTCAATTCAATTATTCCTGATAAATCCCCTCTCGATTTTAATACGACGAAGACACATGATCCATCCCTCAATAAATCCCAAATAAATCTTCTTCCAGCATAACATTCTGCGGTATAACAATGAAAAATTACGTAGAAGCCAATATATCCCACAAATCGCACACAACCGTCAAGTATACGATGAAAATGTTATCAAGCAGTTCTGAAACAATAATCTTCATGTTCCTGGGAGTTGCGACGGTTAATAACCGACACGTCTGGAATACGTGGTTCGTCTTCATGACGATATTTTTTTGCTCAGTTTATCGAATACTCGGTAAGAATTTTCGTCTCCTGCCTCCCCAACTGAAATTTTACCTCACCCACATGAATAATCCAGCATGATCTATATTGATTACATATTTTATCCCATTATTGGGGTATGATGTAGGTGTACTTCTCCTCACAGCAGTGGCAAATCGATTTCGCCTGCACAAACTCGACAAGGTGGAAAAGTTTGTGATGTCGTATGGTGGGTTGAGAGGTGCTGTGGCATTTGCCTTGGTACTCCTAATCGATCCCAACCACGTGCAACTCCAACCAATGTTCGTTACCACCACAATTGCTGTTATATATTTCACTGTTTTCATTCAGGTGAGTTCAGTATTCGATTCTCCAATCTATTACTTATCGTCTTCACCATATCTCAACTGGCAATTTACAAACTGAGATAATGATATTTCACCTGAGGTCAGTTATCACTGGGTCACATTATTTCTCTCCGTCTCCCCGACATCGACTTTATATTTAATATTTTAAGAATACTATTTCTGGAATTTGTGATATTTAAAAAAATATATGAAGAGAAAAAAATGTGAAAAAAAATCGTAAATTAATGGAAATCCCAAAATTTTGGGTTTAAAAAAAATTATAAATTGGTAATTAATAATGAATAATTAAAATTTATAAATTAATATATGTAATTAGAGATGATTGAGAGTGAGAGGATCCCAGATTACTCATGCACAAAAAAGAATTATTCAAGTCTTTGGAGCTGTAATTTTCATTTCAATATTTCTCCCACGAAATTTAATTGCTAATTGTTTCGAAGGGATGGCTCCAAAAATATGGGATTTGTGTGATATTATCTGAAAGTTATCTCTAAACTTTTCCCAACGTAATTGTGTGGAATGAAAGAATAATGAAGGAATAATGAAGGAATAATGAAGGAATAATGAAAGAATTTCCCTGCCCTCATTAGTGTCAATCGCCGAGGCAACGTAGAATTAAGACAAATCAAAAGAAATGATTGTTTGAAAGAGGGTGGGACTTACCCTGGGGCTTGATTTTCAGGGTATAACGATCAAGCCACTGGTGAGAATACTTAATGTCAAACGAGCAGAGAGAAAGAAGCCAACCATGAACGAGAGGATACACGAGAGGGTTGGTTCAATCAATGTTTTCATTTCCTTGCAATTCCACTCAATCGGCTCTTATTTTCTAGATCATGGATCACATAATGGCGGGTGTCGAGGATATCCTGGGGAAGCATGGAAATTATCACGTGAGGGACAAGTGAGTTCTGCAATAAGAGCGAGAAAATAAAAATAACACTAGAATTTTTTTAAATCGCCAGTATAAAAATGAAGTATTTCCTCGTATATCTCGGAATCTGGAGGAGATGGAAAATTTTTCTCAGGACCTTTCTTCCAGCTCTCATTTCCCTCCACAAAAAAGGTTCTTAAAAAAATTTCGGTTTCTCCTTTATTTCCCGAGATATTCCACGAAAACTCGACTCAAGCGCAAGTCAAACAATTTTTTTTTCTTGTATCATATTGCACTGACGTTCTTATCAAGAGGATTAAAGAGTTTACGTGACTTAAGAACTTTGCATTGGACTTTAATTAAAAAGCACATTGAAAATTCGTCAGGAAAATGATCTTAATGGTTCCGTGAATAAGTACCAACGGATAAAGAGAATATCTTTATTAATGAATGAAAAAGGGGAAAGAAACTTAAATTAGTTCTCGAGTCACTAAATTATCGAATACAATTTGTATTTTATTTTCTGTACGAGGCGAAGAGAAAGTTCTACCTTTCCCAAAAGTTTCCCGAATTATAGATTTTTCGACTATGAAAAAAATACCTGAAGCTTGAATTTTGCTCGGGCACTCCTGAAAAGAAGAAAAAACCTCCAACGAATCGTTTTAAATAAATAATTTGGTGTCCAGATTCAAGCGATTCGACACAAAATTCATCAGGCCCTACCTAGTCCGTGATCATTGTGGTGCAGAGCCAAAGATACTGGAAACCTATTCGAAACTAGCCATGAAAGATGCCATGGATTACATTCGTCGTAATGCCTCAACAATAGGAAATATAAGTGGTACAGAGAGTATGTCCGCAATATTCCGGAACTACAGCAATACCGGCCACTTCAACTCCAGGTAAAAACCCCCCAAAACCCCCCGAGCACGAATAATCACCCAACAATGATTAATTTACCAATAAACAAAAAGCCCCAGCTGCAGTCAACTCGAGAGTGGTTGGAACATCGATCTCCAGGAGCTCGAGTACTACCCCTCAAAGAAAGACCTGACCGACGCTAAAATCCACCATCTCCTAGCAGAGGAGCTCTGCAAACCGTACAAAAGGGTAAAAGTCAGTCGAATCCTCATGCACTAATGACCCATCTAAATTCACCTGATTAACAAATTTTCATTAAAACCGTTGTATTTATCTTTTCCCAATGGCTAACAAATACGAAAAAAAAAAAAATTGAATCCATCAGCATCGGAGACTCAGCTACAGTCGTCATGCTGTCAATGACCGGGACTTGTCTACCCAGGTTAATTACAAAATGCACATGAACATTCGTCGGATGATGGGTGAGCACAAACACCGGCACAAACGGAGCAAAAAGTTGATCAAGGTAAGCCTCACCAGCAATATCCCTCACTGTGACACAAAGGGGATGGCTTGTACAGTCATGTAATCCAGTTAAATTGGATTTGCCAGCCCTCTCTAAGTCGCTTGAACACACTCAATTTACCTAATAATCGTTTATTCTCATTCATAAAGGATGGGGCAAAGCAGAATCACGTGAGTTTCCCCGAGTTGCAGCAGCAGAATGGCTCCACCAAATTATTCTCCCAAGGTCAGTGGTTAATTGAGTGTTGGGGGGATGATTTTGGATGGAATAATAATGCGTACTTGTCATGTTGGTCCTCATAAACCCGTTGTGCGAAACCGCAGGGCTACAATATTGTCCCCATAAAAACCAACATTTCCTTCCAAAGGTTTCCCAGGGTTGAGCATGATTGCAGAAGATATTCAAGTACCTTCCGACATTTTCCGGTCTTTCTGCACCTTGAAATATTCATATATACACGGATCCTTCAAGTTCTTCAAATGCAATTCAACAGACAAATTGGATAATGATAAATTTCTAGGTCGACAGCATTATAATATAAAAATTCAATTATCCATCTTGTGATTCCTCGATACCTCGAGCCTTCAACCTGACATTTGACAATTGTTGTTTTATAAGTACTATTTGATGATTGAAGCTGAAATTTAATTGGCTTGATTGACATTTCGAAATCTGTAGAGGTTTAACAAAATTTATCAATTGATCCGAAGGATTATAATCGAATGATCATTTATTGGTGCTTGGGATATGCCTGGCAGATTACATCAATGGGATTTTGTACGAAACGGAGGACGGCGAGGAGGTAAAGCCCTCCGACAATCCTGATTGGGACTCAGCCATTACCTTCACAGCACGTAGCACAGGTAGGAAGCCAATTCTCTGCTAAATAATTCAAAAAATCAATAATCCGGTTATTGGATAAAATCACCCCGATGGTATCGTGAATTGTAGATTCAAATCCACATGGCGAGAGTTCTCATCATGATAATGGTAATGACGATGATACTGATGTGGATGAGGACACTGAGATGGGGATGATGAGGAGGCAGAGGGGTGAATCTGAGGGTGAACCTTTCAGGGTAACAACACCCACTGCCATTGAAACAATGTTACCGTGGAAACGTGAGGATGATTACGACACTGGAAGGCCAGTTAAACAGAATGAATTTCCACCCTGGTGCTCCAACAAAGAGTACATCGCTTACAGTTCACCTTCAGCGACGTTTTTAGGTGAGTTGATTTCATAAAGGCAGCGTTCCAGTGGGTGGAGGCTCTCAGTTACTCGGTGAAACTGCGATAATTGTTATAAGTCGATTTACGCGTTTTTCATTGAATTATCTCGGCGACTCGAATTCAAATCACCGCAGCAACCCGACCATTTCGATTGGGTTTGAATATTTAAATTATCCATTAATAGGTTGCGATCTATAATTGCGGGGATGGAAAGTCCTTAATTGATTTTAAATTTGGGGAATATTTTATTGTCGCTAATTCGTCGTCTGGAAACTTCAGTTATGCTCTTGAAATTAATAATAAATCGGAGAGATCTGGGGAAATTTATCAGTGGATTAGAAATTTTTCGGATTTTCATGGATGTATTATGAATGATCTAAAAATCATTCAGGCGAATTAAATCGTTAACGATTTAATTCGCCTGAAGTTTCCATTGAAATTTAATTGAAAATTTAATTGAATCCGCATATAATCGAAACTTGAGATACCTCGGCAATGAAAATATCAGGAAAAAAAAAAGAATATTTGAAAGAGTGCAGGGTAGATTTATTTTAGCTGCTCAAACAGAGGGTAAAAGGTCTTTTGGTTGTTCCCTGAATTTCCCAGGTGGTATCGAGCAGCCTAAAAGTCAATCGGTAATCGGATATTTCCGAAAGGACAGTGTTGTCTCTCCGGACATATCAGGCTACCCAGATCCCGACGAGAGCGACGAGATCGAGGCAATGGACTCGAAGCATTGCGAGCTGTCACCGAGTCTCGGTAATTATCATCGGTAATTCATAATGCTCTCAGTGAGTTGGTCAACGCAATGACCTCATTAATACTCCAGATAATGCAAGGAGTGTTAAGAGACGTGGCTCAATGATGGAGCTCAGTTCAGCCGAGTCAATAAACAAAGAGAAACTCAACAATGGCTCCCACTCATTACCTGAATACTGGAATACCCAGAGATTGCGTTTACAAACTACATTTCCTTGTTCAACGACAAAAGCACCTAGTCTATCGACAGCACTGATATCATCGTCAACAGAATCATCGGATGATTATGAGGAGGAATGACCGTGGATAGAGACGTCTTCCATTGAGGGGCGTCCACGTCGAGGAAGTGACCTTCGCTCGGTTCTGTCGGGCCTGTTCCGTCGACCGAGTGCTCCTGTATGATTTTTTTTCAAACCCCGATTAACGCTCATATGAAAAAATTCTATTGCGATTGAAATTTATGATATTCCATCGGTTTTTACTGCTTTGTCCTGAAAACTCAATCGCTTTTATACGGATTTTTCCATGAAAAAAAATCGAATCAATGGATCAGGGCGTTTCGATTTTTTAGGGCATTTGGGCGCAATGAGTTTTGGGGAGTAATCGAAATGTAAATTTTTTTTTCTCGTTGTTTTAGTGAAAAATTGCGGAAATTGGGGGATTTTTTTTTTCATGAGAGTTTCGGTGAATTTTTTCATACGTGACGTCATTTTATTTTTTCACTAACTTTTTAATGAGGTGTTGTGATGTGGATTGGGTAGCGATATCTGAATTGATAGTCGGAATCCTTATTACCTTATCTCGAGTCTTTTATCGTAGAATTTTTTTATTTGTCGATATTTGAAGTTGAAAATAATATAGGGTACAGTATTATTTATTCTGCAGTCGAGATTTTGTTTTTTGAGATGGAAAATATCATGCGAGGTCATTGTGGTTTTATTCTCGTTCTGTTACAGAATTGTCAAAATTCAAAATTTAATTATAATTAGATTAATTAATTCCAAGTCTGCGGGCACCGTGAGCCACAATGAGACGGGTGCCTTCAACTGAAACCTGACGAGTGTTTTGGTTGCACATGAGTTCCCTAAAATCAGTCACTACTTTCCTATTTTTACGGCGTTTATTATTAAATCACATGTACGAAAAAATTATATTGGAGTGTCATCTAATTTTGACATTCTGATTCTTATTTTCTGGTGAAACGAGAAAAATAACAGAAAATAGAACTTGCAGAATCCATGAATTATTATCATATTAAAATACCAGCGAAAAAGCACCTGAACTTTTTGATAAATTTTTTCCATAAAATGACTTCGCACATGCAATGAGACGAGTTGAAATTGAGTCACTGATTTGGGCGAAGTGCCATATCGTACTGCTATCGTAAAAAAAAAAAATTCAAAATCAATGATCGCCGCGCGACACTCGATTTTTCTAATACTCTAACCAATGTAATCGATCGACACCAAGTTCCACTGGTTATCGATTTTATTTTCAGCACCCTCTAGAAAGTTTAAATAAATGATCGAAATTAGTAGCCACCAAGTGGTTGCTCTATCAAAAAGAATTTTAAATTGTGAATTTTGAGCTTGAGGTAATAGTTGAAAATATTTTTTTTTATTTAGTTAATATCGATTTGCTTGACCAGGAGTTAATGGGAGTACAAAGCAGCCAGAGTGGCACAATGTGAATACGAATTGGGGCAATCATCTGTGGGATAAACGCGCCATTGTAGATAATATAAATAATTCCGGAAATAAAAGAAAAAAGAAAAAAGAAAAAAGAAATTAGACGACGACCAGAGTAGCTAATTACGCTCGATTAGTCTTTACGCTGTTGATTTGTTAAATAAATGTTTATTTCGTAATTGTGAGTTTTTGATAATTACCTTATTGACATTTGAACAATCATGGACCATTAGTATGTACCCCCGATTAAGCCACAAAACACATTAATTATTAATTGAGCGATGGTTGGAATTGAATGAGGATAACGAGGGATGTTGTCATATTGCCAATCATCTAGTGAACAAGTGACAATCAGTGATTAATATTTATCCTAATTAAATCATTTGTATGGATATACCGTTTGCAAGAGGGATGAGTTGATGGGAAAGAGACCAGCACCAGAGAATTCCACCTTCTGGTGATGGAGTTGAAGTGACAGCGAACGAATCTAGAATGAATAAAAAAAAAACCCCCTCAAAATTTATAAACAAATTCACCATTTATTGATGCAATAAAAATCAAATACGTTACAATCTGGTATAACTTTGACTCAGTGCTCTCAATGTGAATTTCATGAATCAATTTTCCCGTGTGTTCAGCCTGAAATATTAAACAAATTATACCAATAATTATTATTTCAAACGAATGAATTGACATTGAATCACCTGATTGGAGGTCCAATTGCAGATTACTACTGTTGCTATCATGGGAGCAGCTGTGGTAATTTGCCAGGATATATAAGAACCTATTGAGAGGTAATTGGTCTCCTCGGGTTTAACTACCTCGTAGAAGATGAAGTACAGGGACGAGCTCAGGATGATGAAAGCCGTTGCTACGATCACCACGAAAAATCCGTTGAACATCCAATTTAAAAATTTACCTATTTTGCAGAGATTGTAATGGATTTTGGCGATTAGACGAACACCTTCGGCGCAATCGTTCGAGAGTTCTATGACCTTAAATCAATATTTCATTATTATTCTGGCGTCTGTGGTTTTATCGCATTACCTTCGGTGGTGACGAATTCGCTCTGTCTCTAATTGCCATCAGCTTGGTATTCACCTCCCGGAAGTGAACACCGAGGATTATGACGAGGGATCCAAATATCGTGGGTGTTATTACTTGGATGACTGATGGAATTGTGAAAAATATCCATTGGCAAACCATCAGCGGAGATTCACTAGAGAATCATCCATGGAGCATGATTTTCTCATTAATTTATTATTAATAATAATATAACAGTAAATTTCGGTCACAGTCGGACGTTTAAATATTTTCCATGTGATTTTTTCTATATAAGTAAATTTTATACAGTTCTATTTTTGAATTTGAAAACATCGGATTGACAATTGAAAAAAAAATTGACTGCGCTGGTTGAACAATAGAACTGCGCAATGCGGTAATCATTGAAAAATTATTGTAATCTAGAGGACAAGTATTGAAGGGGCCACGCCCGAGGTAATTATAACTGGCAACTGTAACTGGCGATTGTAAGAATTAAAAAACCACTTTATTGCATCCTGTGGGGGAATTTTCGAATTACTCACGCTCGGCTCCGGTTAGTTTCGGTGTCTTATAATAAAATATTGTGACGCATAAATAAAGTTACCGCACGCTCTTGAAACTATGATATTTCATGAGTCATGAAATAATGATAAAATGCAAATGCGGTATATATTTCATTGAGTCAATCCGATTCACGATTTATGAAATAATTTAAAAAAACCGGTAATTTTGGATAAAAAGAGTTATTATGAAGGATTTCTAATTTTTTAATAGTTATTAACAAAATTCTGAGCCACGAATAAAATTGATAAAATTGACGTGAGAAAATATTTCGTTTTCAAGTTTTATTATTATTCAATGTCTGATAAAATTTTGATCACTACAGAATTTTTTTACGTTCTCAGTAAAATTTTCAAAAATACCCAAAATTTTACCGGAAATTGATAAAAATATTTTTACAATTTGATCCCATAATTCTCATAATTAAATTCCGGAAGACATGAAAAATGTGAAGATATCGGCAATAACTCGTTGAAAAAAGGAAAATGAGAACTGTTGGTACAGCACTGATGGGTGCGGGGGGCCCAGAGAAAAGAGCACCTGCAGGTGGAGGGGACTCATACGCTGGAGACGACGCCAAGCCCAAACCCCAATGAATGACGTCAGGTGATTCATGGCATGCAGGACATAGTGTTGTGTATTTATCGTTCTGTTTAAATATCCCAGTGATTATTTATTCAAAATACCCTAAAAATGGCAGCATACAACCTGATCATCCTCTCGGTACTGATTTTCTGCTCTATAACAGGTAGGATACTCTCAAATTATGAAGTCATCGACCCGCCCAGTTTTAAATTCCATATCATTTTTAGTAATACTCGAATTACTGTTCCCTGTTTGTGCAATAATCAAATTTTACTCGTCACTCTTCATGCAAGTGATATTCGCGCAATTGCTGTTTAATTGAGTGCATTATCGATTTGAGATCATCATTATTGATGCAGAAACCTTTCGATTAACCTAAAATTTTGAGTACTCGTGTTTGTTTTTACAATTATTTTATGGGAGGTTTACATTCAGATTTTAAAAAACAGAGAGACTCGAATAAATGTTTTTTAAATGTGATTATTGTCAAGAGTTAAAAGCATCTTGAGGTGAATTTTTGTGTTATGAATTCGCAGGGTTTTATAATTAGATATCATCGATTTTTTATTTTTGTGAGAACCGGAGGAAATTAATGGGAGAAAATTCAGGGGAATGATTTCATGAATTCTTTAGATAATTAGGTGATGACAATGTTCCTCGCCATCTTTTTTAAATGTGACAACGCCCTCAATTCGAATTGAAAGTGAATGGAACATGAAAAAACATCGAACTTCAAATTGAGAAATTCTATTTAAAGTGGAGAATAAAGTGAAAAAATTCGTGGAAAATCAAGTGCTTCTACAATTCACCTTTTTGCGCAAATGTTGCAACACAATTAAATGCCAATGCAATTATTATTTAATTGATGATTGATTCAGGTACAAAGGCAGTGCGTTGCTATCAGTGCAGCAGTGACACCGACACAGACGGTGAAGATCTCTGTGGTGCATACCACAAATTCGACAAGACCAAAAACATAGCAATTGATTGTAATGACGAGGATTCCCACATGCCCGGTACATTCTGCGTGAAGGAAGTCCGACAAAGTCCTCGTGGGTTCGTCTGTAAGTATATTCCATCCAAAATGTTCATCCAAAAATATTCCCGTGCAATTTCAAATCCATTACAATTCGATGTTCTTCCTCAAGTTTTCTAATAACCAATTTGTTGAATTTTTCGGAAAGCGATTGAGGAATACACCGACAATTTAAAAATTTTTGAGATATTATAAAGATTCTTCTTCTCCAGGGGATGGCCGCTGGCGTCAGGTAATACGAAGATGTGCATCAGTAGCCAGCACTGGAGTAACTGGTGTATGTAATTGGGGGGTTTACGAAAATGGCGTATATTGGGAGGAATGCTACTGCTCCGATGATTCCTGCAATGGTGCAACAACCATTTCATCAAATCTGGTTCTGCCAGCTCTATTATTCGTTTTAACGTCACTATTTCTCGGCACGTATGGATTCAAATGAGAGGAGATTAAACTGGTGAAATATCTGAAGTGTTGTGCAGTACAAAGAGATTAAGGGCTTCGACGGATAAATACATGGATGTAAAGCTTTTAGACTGCAATGAACCTCTTACCAACTGGTACTACATCGTGAATACTTCAAATTCTTCCACTCCAGTGTTCATTTATAATTGATAGAGTATTCTGTCGTTTTATGATCAAATGTGAATAATTGTATGACACTTTATCCGTCCAAATTCTAGATGTAAATAGTACGTTAAATTAAACATTCCCTCGGCGAAGCCGACCATCGATTTTTATAAGATTTATAGTAACGAAAAATTTTTGTAATAACACAATATATTGTTGTTGTTTTTTTATAATGAATTTTTTTATCATATGGCATGCAGTAAAGCGAGATGACTCGGAACCGTCCATTAATTTTAGTTAAAATATATATTTATGTTCTGGTTATTATTTTAAAAAATTGAGTTCAAATTGAATTCAAAAAATAAAAATTGAATTGAATCATTTGACGTTACGTGAGTCAACAGGCATTTTTTAAATGTTTTTTTTTAATTCCGCGGAATCTCTTCATCTCAAAGATGACTTGTTTCACTGCTCCATTCCCGGAGAGATTCATAAACTCTCCGGAGATAATTTGTTGTAAAGTTTAAGTGCTGAAAAATGACATGAATCTCCATCAGCTTCCGGAGAATCTCCTTTCCAAGCCATTAAACATCAAATGTTAAGCACGTAAGTTAGTGCAAACGCAGTGAATGTTTATGATAATTGTAAAATAAAATGAAATAAAATTAGAAATACAGGTGTTAATGAATTAAAAATTATTTAGATGATGAGAGCACGTCGAAAAAATTCCTATTTTCTATTTGATCTGTAGCTGGTGAGCACTCGTGACTGCATCTATAACTTATTTCATGTAGAATAATAAATCCACGAAGGTGATTTCCCCCACTCATTTTTCATGACGTGCATTTTTTTGCAATTACTATAACCACACGCACGTTTTTTTAATCACCTACTTCAACCCCGCGATCTTATGGTTAATTATAGAATTATATAATTAATCAATTATATAATATCACCCTTATATTTTCCATGTCTCTGTCAATGAAAGGTCGATAGTAACACGATCGTTTTCTCCGCTCTAAAAATTGTTTCATAAAATAATTGATCATTACCTGGCCCACGTGCTCATGGATGTGTAGCAATCGTAAATGAGCAGAACAGCGACTGTCGTTAACGTCCCATAGACATACGTTCTGACCATTTTGAAACAGAGTGAATAATCCATTCGACAGCCCAATTGCTGGAGAATTAAATTTTGAGAGGCCAGGAACTCCATAGCATCTATAAACTGAGGAATTAACAATTCGAATTTCATAATGACAGTTAAATAAAAATAGAATACACTAAAAAAATCCCACCATGACCAACCAAATCTCAAATTAAAATAAACCCGCACCATTGAGAACTAAAATTATTAAAAATTGTAATAATATCTAAAAAAAATTCTCACATCTTTATGGTAGAAGATCCAAATGGAGGAATTCAAAAAATAACACACAAGTGCCGACAAACTCCGAATAATCATTGTAATAGTCATCACAATATAATCCATCCTATTGCAATAAATGAATAATGAACTACAATCATGAGTAAATTCCCCTGCATACGAAAAATCGAATAGAAATAAATAAATCGATGCAGTTGTTGCGCCACAAATTATCCCCTTTTTTCTATTAGATTTTTTGCTGTATGATTTACTCATGGATTATCGCGCACCTCGAGAGAAATTCCACCTCCAAAATAGCCGAAATGAAGATTCCCGCCGAGATAATAAAGAGAACAATGTGATATCCCATAATGGATTTACTGAATCGGCATTTTTTCAAATTATCAGGACCACCAAAGCATATGGGAAAATTTCCAATAGTCTGCCAAATACCCTCGACTCTCGCCAGTGCTGTAAAAAAATTCATTCTCCTCTGGAGTTTCCGTTTGTCTGCAAAAATTCCGAATATTTTTGTGTAATCCAACGAATCACGGAATTATATCTTCACATTACCTGTCATCCACGTATTCTCCATCGTCCTCATAGAATTTCTCTCCAAACGCATGGCTTCGACTGTATTCCAAATGAAACAGCGAGACACGTCCTTATCACAATGGATTATCCGATGGACATTAGCGAATTGTCGGTAGCAAATATTTCTTTGATAAAAAAAAAATAATGAAATGGGTGCATTACTGTAATAGCCCCGGAGGTGAAACACTTTGTGGCACAGAATTCGTTTAATCATCTTGAGAGATATAATTCTTAGTCGTCCCCCTCGAACAGGTCAGGCTGTCCATCAAGTTGCATCATTATTATGACGTATGTTGTTATGACTCCACTCATCTAATTAAATATCAGATTACCTCATTAGTGTGGACAGCGAAATTTTACTCAAGGGATTACAACTCATGCCGAAAACAAAAAAAATTCCTATTTTGTTAGTCTATTGTTCGAGGCTCATTGTGATCTGAGATAATAATATCATAATTTAAAATATTTCTCTCATCATTGACTTTCAGGGAATAATTACCGAAATATTACATACACTCTTTATTCTTAAACTTCAAGAATAACTCCGGAATAATCAATTGTCGATATCCGAATTTCAGTGCTCAATTAAAAATAAAAATATAATAAACTTAAAATAAGCTCCCTTAATATTTAACTAATCCTGTGTTATAAAAAAAATAAAAGGAAACGTTTAAATAACTCAATTATTCAACGGATGGAGATAGTGTAAAGTTTTTATAATTTAATCTCGATTGATCAGTCTCAATTTTTCAGTGGAATATCGAATATTAATTCGATTTCTATCGCTCTTGCCTCGAAAAAACTTAAAATGATTCGATTTTTTAACGAATCATTTCTTACCTTGTAAAATACAGAATCGTTCAATTCAATTAAACCATACAATTTAATTTTAACACTCTGCTGAAGACACTCGAGGGAGAGTATTTTAACAAGATCGCTGGAACATTTCAGTCTGCGCATCACCAGCATCGTGTGAAGATAATTGCCAATTCGATTGGCCTGGACAGAAATAAATAAAAAAAAAATGTGTAACTCTATCTGGATGTACCTAGACCAGGAATACCGTTTGACTGATGGTTTCGCAAACGTCGATAATGCACAGCATTTGAATGAAGCGTAGGATCAACCAGCCGAGAACAATTGACATGGAAGAATTTGTATTCCACTGCCGATAATTACCATTCCTAATAAATATTAATAGCATGTATATGTTTACGATGAACTGCGCAAATTGCATCATGAGGGTCATTAACAATGGCAATGCGAATAAATTGTTCATCAGGGTAACTAAATTCCGGAGATTCCTGTGCAATTTTCCAAATGCCCGCAAACGACCGCCATTTAATATTGGTTCTGCTCTGTAATAAATAATGAGTAATTAGCATGAAATTATTACTTATTATTAAAAATTGAATTTATTGACAAACGAAATTTTGATTTTTATTATTTAATTCAATTAATCTACTCGTCAAAAAAGGATAATGTCACCTAATTGTTGTAATTTATTACAATTGAAATAATTGAACGCTGAGAACAATGAGAATAATTGAAGTAATCATCGTATTATGTCAGAGTGATTATTATTTATTTTATTTAAACCCCAAATTTGAAGGTGACAAAGAATTTGTTTTCTCAATGTAAAGAAAAAAGAAGAAAAGAAGAAAAGAAGAAAAAAAGAGAAAAAGTTAAAATCAAAATTTTTCTGTTAGACATCAATAAAAAATTTATTACATTGACTCCACGGTGTTACGCGTCGAGGGATCACTTGATAAATTCTGAATTCCCAGATTGATGAACTGAAATCTCGCTTGAATAGTCTTCAAGGTGTAAACAAGAATAGCGACCATATTAAAACTGATGCACCGCGGAAAATTGAAGGGTAGCCAGACATCAATCTGGAATCCGTGGACGTTGAACATCAGGGCATGATCGGTAACATAAAGAACGTAGAAAAAAAAATTCAGAAGTATGACGAATATGTGAAAATCTGTTGAGAAATTATCGTAGACGTCAGTCATACCGAGAAGTACAGCTTCTCGTTTGGTAATTGTAAAATTTTTGATAATGCACTTCAATTGATTCTGATAGAAGATCGCATAGAACCAGATGATAACGATAGCCGAGTAATCGAGTCCCAGTGCGATAAAATCCATTATCACAATCATATTTGTTTCGAGAGGGAGAATAGTCATTATTCTCTTTATTGCAGCACGAAAATAGCACACGGTGTAAGCGATTATTAAAACCATGGAGTAAATGGTACCGATTTTTGATCTGCCGATGGTGTACGTTTCGCTGAGAGTGAATGGACATATGCCCATTAGTTTCCAATAGTAGAGAAGCGGTTTTGACACTAGGTTGGAGTGATGACACATGTTTGAACGATTTCCGGGGGGTATTGGTATCTTTGGGGGATGATTCACTGGAATCGGCACGTGTTCAGACATTTCTGGGGGGTGGATACTCATTTTTACACTCAATGGATACGTTGGAATCCACATTTGAACAGTTCCTGGTAGTTCTTCCAGTGAGTGCTTAGAAAGTCATTCGGGTGGAAGTGCAATTGTGCAAATTGATACTCGAGGTGAACAGTGACAAATCCGTGAGCATCAATTCTATCCGCGTCGATTTATTACTCGGTGATGGATCGGTGGGAATAATTCGGAGAGGTGGGGAATAAATTCTTCATTCTCCCTGAATATTGCATTTCAACTTCTCAATTATTTATACGATAGCATGGAAGAAATTCAGCAGTCATATTCGACGAGGGAAATTTTTTCGATTTAATTGTATACCGCATTTAGATGGTTTTTCAATATTCAACCGTTTTTCTCGACTTTTCATTCGTTCATCATTTATTAAATCCTCATCAATATTTTAAATGACGAGAACCTCGAATAAATCTGATAATAATTATTGATTGTTCTTGGAATAATTAATGTGAATAATCGAATATGTATTGTTTAAACCGGTTGAGGAGAAAAACAATATTTTACGAAAATTACGGAGAAAAATTCTGAGAGCAAATGCGGAAGACTAAATTTGGGGGAAAATTGTTGATGAGAATTACTTTGATGTCTAAATTAAATTAATTGGGTGATCTATGCGTATTTATTTATATTTAAGGTATTTTTTTTATTTTTGTTTATGGTATAATAGTGTAGATTTCGAAGAGTGCACTGGATGGATTACGAGTGGAGGTGTAATTATAAATTTCAGAGGTGTTGTCGTTGCTAGACATATCGAATGGTAGTCCAGGAAATTCCAGTCTCATTTCAAAATGCTCTCGGAACAACTGATCGTGTTCTTCAAGTTGAATCATTATTACTAGCGATCCAAGTACCACATTAGCGAGCTAGAAACAGAATTTAAAATTCAGATTCAATTCTTCATAAGAATTCACATTTTTTACTTGATAAATCAGCGGAAAGTTCAGTCTGATTAATCCATGGAGAGTGATGACTGTTTTCTCCTGGAGAAGACGGAGAGACACGGACTCAACCTTCGAAATTTGATTAACAATTTATTATAGATTAAATATATATAGATTAAAAATAAATAAATATATATAGATTAAAAAAAAAATTCTGTTGGATTTCTATTGGAACTTTAAAAACTCTTGATCTTTTCCTTTTAATTTTTAATCAATACTAATATCTGTATTAATTAATTAATATTGATTGATCAGAGAATGAAAATTTATCCGATTCCATGAATTGTTTTATTAAATGAATTCCTAGACATCTGCAAACTATTCCACTTACAACAAAGCGAGTATTCCTGGGTCGATACGTTGTCCACATGTAATGGAGAGTACTGCCAGTTCGATTGGCCTCTTCATCAGCTAAACTCGATATGCTAACAATGAGGAGCATCTGAATAAGATTAGCGATACACCAGATTGAAAACGTTGTCATGGATGCCATCTCCTGGACACTCCACTCAGAGCCAATATTCCTGTATAAACCAGCCATTACATACATACACGAAGAACATTCCGTCGAGTTCACCACTATTGACAATAATATCGGCACTCCAAAGATATTCTCCACCGAGTGCAAAAGGTCCTTCAACTCCTCATGCACCTCTCCCATCGATTTCAAATATTCACCCGCGTTTTTTTTTGCTCCCGGTCTGAATAAAAACGAAAAAATAAATATATCTTTCTTATTCCAATTAATTCAATTAAATTCCAAAATTAATCATGGAGGACGATTCAATAGATTTCGAATAATTATTGCAACAACGATCTTAAATAATTAAAAACTGTTCTATATTATCAGGAAAGGAAATATTGGTTTATTTTTATGAATGATAATAATGATGACTGTTATTAATATATCTTATGTAAAATGGTATACTAAATTCAAGTTTATTATTTTTTGGGTGAATTCCCCATTTTTCTGGATTTTTCCCATTTTTTAAATTTTTATTTCGAGTATTAATTGAGATTTTGAGCGATTGTAATAATTATTGCGGAATCTTTATTCTAATAATTTTTATTAAGTAATTCAGGGATAGATACCCTGCAATGTAAAACACCTGGTGGGACATAGTACTCCTCAATTCCAAGAAACAATGAAAATTTTCTATAGCCTCATTAATGCACTGGAATTTTTTTTTTATCACCAGGACCCCATCGACAAATAAAATATTAAAATTCCAAACAATTACGCGAGTGTACTGATAAAGAAGAACTGGATAATTCTGTTTAGTTGACACAATCGAAATAACAGTAGATATAGTGGAGTGAAGAAAGAAAAATAAATTGACGAATACGCAATGACAGGCAATTCCCCTGAAGATGTCCCACCAGCTGCAATCCTGGAGGCCCATATCCTGGAGGCGTTGGTGGAGGCTGATGAATTTTCTGAGAGTATTTTCGATTTTTTGAACACGAGTAATCGATATAATCCACACAGTGAGAACTAGAACGAACTGAATCGTGATACTGAGGAGTCCAGTGATAAGTGCAATTGATCCTGAGGTGAACGTCGACCGGTTAAAACAACCGATTGTTGTAAATAAATAAAAATATCCAGCACAACGCATCACAGTTGCGATAATTTCGAGGATCGATGGCTTCAATCGACCATTTCTTATTCTGAAGGGACACAATCCCAGGATTCTCCAGTAGTAGTACAAACACCCGACGATTGATGATTTTTCTGGTGATTCTCCCATGATTCCAGAGGATTATTGATGACTAATCAGTCATCATCCAACAGTCGGACTGATGGGAAAGAGTCTTCATGCATTTTGATTTGATAAGGAGACATTTCAATCGAGATAATTGCAATGCACTACCGATAATGACTCTGCCCACTAGAATTATTGATCAGGGAAAACAGCAGTTGGGAAAATGCTGGGATTATTCTGGGAATTAAACGTATTTTTTTAATCTGTTGTATAAATTTTTTTCACTCTCAAGTGTTCACTTCAATCATTCATACGATTGATCATTTTTCCAGATGTCTAATTATTTTTCAATTATTTACATTTAACAATTTAAATTTTATTTTATTTTATTTAAATGAACCATATTCAGATTATGAGTGAAGAAGTAGAGGAATAATGAGAAAAGTATTTGCACAGGTAGTTGTTGGAAAATTTTTTTCGAAAAAAAAAAACAGGTAGACGTAATGAGGTGGGCGATGAGAAGACACAAAAGGGGTTGACCTGGTGTGTTAGGAGTACCTCAAGCAGTTCCGGAAATACCTCTTGGCTCAATTTCGCCGGGAGTTAAAGACCATTGCCGTTTGCAATTTTACGACAGGGATTATTATACGGGGGTGGAAAAATAGGGAACAAAGTTACAGTGCTTATGCTGTCAGGCACCGACTGCCGGGTTTTCCCCCGGGATTATCCTCAAAAGCCTTGTCTTCACGTCCTTTTTTTTATTTCACATTTTCATACGACTTTTTTATTGCGTCACAATGCACGAGGGTACATACAATAAAATACTACGAATGCTCGAAAGTTCTTTCCGATAAAAATATTCGATTGCGAATATTCCGGAGAGTGAGAAAAGAATTTAGGAAAAGAGAATTGAAAAAATTCTTGTTCTTCAATTTAATGGAATTAATGAATTTTTCCGTGATTTAGTGAATGTACAGAGTATTCGAATAATTCTCCATTTTTAATTGTAAATTGAAAAATTAGGAGATTGTTGAGAATTCGAGAAATAATTTCCCGGAATTTTCGTGTTATTGAGATATCATTCGATGGCAGGGGAATTAATTAAAAATGTACACGAATTCATGATTACAATAGGATTCAATGATTTATTGCTTAATGAGATTGTAACTTATTACAGATATGAAACAGACAAAAATTAGTACATTGCATGGATTTTGTTATTTATTACTGCGGAATTTTCAAGATTTTTTTCAGATTTTAATCCTCATTTGAACCTCGAAAATGCAAGACAATCATAATCCTATACTGCGACAACTGACTCAATGATTTTGAATAAAGCACAGAGATAATTGGACATAAATTCAACCAGAACAATTCTAATGACATTAACTCTTAAAACTTCAACATTACTCGGTGATTGTCCGAGGACAACGTAATTAGACGTGAAACGACATGAGATAAAACTGCGAGAATTAACTCTTATTTTAATTACATTGTGGACTTTAATCCTGTCGGAATATTTTCTGAGGCCACGGAGAAAAATTTACAGTGACAATTCCACTACTTGACGATGAAACCCAGATAATATTCATTGGAGCAAAAAAAAAATGGTAAATCGATTATGATTTCAGTGACATGATATCATGACACATTCGACTATAAATTTTCCTCCGTGTCTGATAACGTGATAGTAGATTTAACATATTTTTTATGATTAATACTGACGTCGACACTGGACTTCCAATTCGGGGGCACATGTATATTTCCACATCATTTTGCAAATGACTTGGTGTACTGATACCTCTCCTTCAGGACAGCGAAGTAATTCCATAGTAGCATGAATGAGAAGTTTAACTCGAGTTCCACACAGCAAAACTCCTCCGCCATCTTCGGGATGAGATATGGAAGATTGTTCCCAAGGTTGACGATCGGAGTCTGGGGCATGGGCACTGGCAATGAAGGTGGTAAAGCCCGTGCTTTGAGATTCTTCCTGACGTTCTTCACAGGCTGTGCAGAGGCTTGAGACGAAAGGTGTCCAACATTGGAGCTATTACCCCGGATGTCCTGTACTTCTTCCTCGACGGGTTCCAGAGAGGTTGGCGTCAAGAGTTGTCCCAGAGTCGGGCTGGTCCTCCAGGCGAGGGTAATGTCCTTCTCGACGGGATCCGGAGATGCCGGTGATAATAGACTAAAATCTTTACCCCAGATGCTGTTGAATTTCTCCTCGATGTACTCGGGGGACAATGGGGATAATATTTCCTCCATATCCAATCGGGAACTAGAGGTCGATGGCACTGACCCGCTGGAGCCGGCGGGAAGCTGCCAATTCTGGTGTCTCTCCCGTCGTACAGTTGGAACAGGACTCATGTCTTCAAATTAATCACAAGTTCTTCAGGAGTTATCAACAAACTCAACCACTCGATAACTTCAGCACTTTTAAATTCTCTTCACTCAACCAACACTCGATTTCTTCGGATTATTCGTTCACCTCCGGAGAACCGATTCGAAAAATAGTTGTGACTTTCTTCGAGGACAGTTGGGACTGTTGTGATGAAAAATTTGCGAGGGCGAGTACCTCTTAAAGGGCCAGGCTACCCTTCAGGTGGATAGACGAAAGTTATCAGGGGTTACAGGTGGGAGGTGGGAGAAGCTGGTCATCAAGGGATTAGGGCACGTCAGGGGTACACCGACCCCCACCCCCTAGTTTCTGATTTGATACCTGTCCGGGGACCTTTGTGGTACTCATCGGGGAAGTCCCACCCAAATTTTGGGCCGTCCATGGAATAAATTGGAGCGATATTTACAGTAGTATCGGTGTTTGGGGTGGGAGGATTTGCTGGCTTGATTACAACACAAATAAGGGCGGGTTAATTAAGATTGTCTGGGGTTGATTGACTGGCCGGTGGGGAGGGCATTGATTGTTCAGGATTTTTCATTTTCCTCAAGATCGAAAGCTTTCGATTTTTTCTTGTATTAATTATGGAAAATTGTATTAATTATGGAATTATTTATTGTTATATAATGAATTATGTGAAAATAGATATTTTTAAGGATGTCATTGAATTTTTCCTCAGATTTCGCAGTTAAAATTCCAAATTTCCAACAATTCAATCCATTAATCATAACTTTTTTTACGTACACTGAGAGTAATTAAATTCAAATTGAAATTAAAATGCTGATAACAGACTCAAATCTTTACCCGAGTTACTGGTGAATGTCTCCTCGATGTACTCGGGGGAGAGTGGGGACTGTTCTGATAAAAAATTCGCCAGGGCGGATACCTCTGAAGAGGCCAGCCTACTTCAGGTGGACAGACGAAAGTAATCAAGGGTTACAGGTGGGAGGATTTGCTGGCTTAATTAATAATTAATTAATTAAGATTGTCGCATTACTTTATTGAAAATTCATTTTTTTTTGTTCCGCGATTGGTTTTCTGCAAGAGAAGCATTGGTTTCCTCTTCGTCTCACCTTCACTTCCTTGAAATCCTTAATTTCGTGGATCTTCTATTTTTCTTCTTTGCACAGATTGCTTTACGATTATCCTAGGATATATCTTTAAAAATAATCTCTCGAGGATGCCACGTGTATGTAAAATGATCATAACATTACACCTGCAGGTAAAAGGGGTGGAAATGACCTGAGGGAGAGGGCGAGTGTTTATGACTGCGTGGGGCCATTGACTAGGACGAGGTGCGCCAGGACCGCTCGGCTGCAATAAAGTCATTAAAGGGAACGAGCACGTTCACTCTCTTTACTTTCTTTGAAAAAATTTCCACGAAAAAAAATATCCCGAGGATAATCCCCTTTCACGAAACATTTCACCTAATAAATTATCGTTTTTAATTATCCAGGGTGAAAGGTGCTTTGAATGGCTACAAAGAATGTGACGTACTCCAATATTATTCTGAGATTTCACTGGAATTGAAAAATGCGGTTGAGGTATTTGAGAGAGAAAAGAAAGAAAATAGAGACAATAGAGAAAATATTCAGGTAATTCCCTCAGAGTGGTTTTATGGCAAAAATCGTTGGGTAATTGTGTAGTTGATAGCAACAGGCTTTATAAATACATTGCAGAGATGTGGAATTTTCACTGGGTTGGGGTGAATGAGAGGTTCATCGGGGAGGATTGACTCCCCGGGGTGTTCTCCACCTGGGCACTTCTTTCCCCCACGGGATCAGTCTCATTCATGTCCTCTATCTGTGGAAAAATGGTAACGAGGAGTTTAACGAAATCCCAGTATTTATTTTAAAACTATTTTTTATGAATTCTGAGATTTTTCACTCAAAAATTATTCAATAATATTTTTTAAAATCGGAAAAAAACAGACGAAAAATACAAATGAGGCTCAAATCAAAACTGATACTCATCAAATATCCTGAGAACTTATTTTTTTTTAATCGTAAAAATATTTGATGTCTCCAGGATAATGGAGTAGGAGAAATGGAATTATTGACCTGAATATTAAAAATGAATATTCAGAACTTACAACAATCATCTCTTCCACTTTAATTCTCTTCTGAGCAATAGTCCTCAGTAGAGCTTTAGCCTCTTCCTTGGTCTCATCAAATTGCAGACACTTTTGAGCATAATGATTAGCTTGATCCAGCTGTTCCCGCTTCAAATGATACTGCGTGAGAAACTTATACGCATGACTCAACTCAGTTCTATCAGCGCTCCTAAACTCATCCATCACAAAGTCGCTGTAGGCAGCAGCCGCATGCTCCTCCTCATTCAAATTCTCATAAAGGGTGGCAAGTCTAATTAGCGCCATCCCCTCGATATCCCCGACATTGCAGGCCTTGTAATAGCACTTCAACGCGTCCTGTATTTTATCCTGCTTCTCATATGCCTCACCGAGGGCTAGAATCATCCTGCTGTCGTGTGGCCTCAGCCTTTGAGCCTGTTTATAATAATAAAGCCCATAAAATGGCATTTTCAGAATTTCATAGGTCTGACCGAGACCATACCAGGCACGATAATCTCTCCTGTTCACTTCAATCGCTTGTCGATAACTGTGAATCGCTCCATTCGTATTCTTTAGCTCCATAAACTCGTGCCCCAGGAGTGTCCAGGCTGATAAGTACTGAGGGTTGAGTTTCAATGCCCTGTGGAAGTACATAACAGCTTTCTGGTGATCAGCCCTGAGACTGTAGTAATTACCGACGATGCAACAGGTCTCGAGTCTGTACTTGTCGATTGATGTGGCACGATGGGCAAGATCTGCTAGCTCAACTCTCATCTCCTTGACGTACAAAAGGTTGGAGTATGTGTCCATATTGTCTAGGCAGTAGGGATCGTCCTTGATTATTTTTTTGAATGTCTCGATGGCATTCTCAGCGTCTCGCCTGTAGTGCACTGCTATCGCTGTCTGTGCCAGGACGTAGCCATTTTTCTCAAAACCCATGGACTGCAGCTCGCAGTACAGGGCAAGGCCCTCGTCCAGAAGCTGCAACTCCAGGAACATGTGGGCCATGAAGAAGTGCTTCATCCAGTGGTCTGGCAGGGACAGGCTGTCGAGCTTCTCCTTGTCGTTTATGAGGCCTGCTAGCTCCAGCCAAGTCCCCCAGTGCATCGGGTATTTGTGGGTTGATTCCACCAGGACGTCCACTGCCTCGTGGGTCAATCGTAAATTCTTCAGGGTAACACCGAAGAGGTACAACCCAAAACCGTCCAGTTGCCCTGCTATGTGATCTTTTCTCAGATCACTGGAGAGCAGTTTCAGCTCTTCGTTTTTCAAGGGATCTGGGGGTACATCTGTCATGTCGTAGATCTTCTTTTTCTCCCCGGAGAGGTACCGCGAGTAGAGGTACAGAAAACGCGTCTTTCGGTTTTTGCAGGATTTTATGAAGTAGGATGCTCTGTCGTACTCCTTCAGGTCGAAGTAACTTTTTGCTAGGATATATTGATCTTCTTCGAGGCTCGTCTCCACGCTGACGTCTTGCGTCATGTCGTGCCCGTCGAGCTTTATGTCTCGGAGGGAATAGTTTAACTCGGATAACCTGCAATTAATTTTTTCCTCAAGGGTTCATTCAAATTTTATGGATTAATTGTGAAACAAGATTTATTTACCATTTTGTTGTGTTCAATAATCCTCTCTGGGAGCACTCGGTTATTGCTCGGAGAGTGTCAATCTTAACCTCTTTGATGTCAAATTTCATCACAGACACCTCCATTGTATTATTAAATAATTATTCTTCGAAACTTTTGGGGGATCGATCAAATTTCCGACTGGGATATTCCCTTCCGCGACGTTGCATGGAGGAAAAAAAATTTACAAACACAATTGAAAAATAATTTGGATCTCCCAAGTGGTTCTTCAGAGATCTGTAATGCCGATGTATCGAGTGAGTCACCGCGGCAATACCAAAATATCCTAAGTGCGTGATTCATTCATTCATTGTTAATACTCCGGATTATTGACGTATCAACAATTACCCTGGGCTCATAAATCCGCCAGAAAAAAATCTCAAGTGTAACGAATAATTCTCCAATAATGGGAAGCTGTCATTTATTCGCTTGGGTGAGTAAATCTCTGGATATTGTCTTCAATGAAAATTTAATCGTCACTAGTATAGAGAACGAAGAGTAACCACGTGTGAAATTTTTCTACTCGGAAATTTCCGCACTCCCGCGAATATTTAAAAAATTTAAATCATTAGAATCTGGTAATTATCCATTTTTTTTGACAATTATCCTTTCCAAATTGATAATATATAATTATTTAAATTATTATTATTATCAATCATTTTATTTTTTGATTATATATGCTTTGGAAACAATGCGAGAGAAAGAAAAAAGATGAATAATACAGAAAAATTTGGTAAAATTATTTCTGTAAATATTTTAGGGTGCGAATTCGCACGGACAATTGAGTCTCGGTTATGAATCGGAACAATCGATTTTACCAGAAAAGGTAGATCTCAGTAAAACAAATCTTGATCCTTCGAGGATATCGAAAATAGTGGGCGGTGCAGGTCACACACTAATCCTGGATGACGCAGGTACATTGTACTCGTGTGGTTGGAACAAAAAGGGTCAAGCAGGGATTGACTTATCAGAATTCTCGGTAATTCTCGATCTACAAACAATTGATGCCTTGAAAAATATAAGAATAAAGGATGTGGCATGTGGATGGGACAGTTCAATTGCACTCACTGACAACGGCGAGGTTTATACCTGGGGATCCAATTGTTTCGGACAATTGGGGCGAGCCGTTACTGGATTCACTAATGTTCCTGGTAAAATTGAAATACCCTTCAGAGTCAAGGGGATTGCGATGGGCTTGCGACACTCCGTTATTCTCACCGATGAGGGAAATTTATTAGTCGCCGGTGCAGGTAGCAAATCTCAGCTTGGAATTCTTCATCCGAATGACGATACCCTCCGACAAACTGACGCCTTTCTTCCGGGTAATTACCACTCCAGGAAATAGTGCTCCAATAATCGACAGCTTAATAACAGAAGGGACGTTGTTAAATATTCTGGCAAAACAAAAATAACCCGTCAAAGTCAGACGGTCAAAAATTCAAAAAAGAAAAAAAAACGAGAACAAAATAATTCAGCGTCATCTAAGAATTGCATATACGGCTTTCAAAAATAATATATAAATTCAATATAAATGAATTCTAAAAAATGTTTTAGTCTTTATAAATTTGTAATTTAGATTAGATAATCCTTGCGACAGTTCCAGGAATATCAGGAATCAATAGCATTTCGTGTGGTCAATACTTTAGTGCAGCTGTCACGGATGACGGAGTGATCATCACCTGGGGAGATAATAAATGGGGTCAACTGGGGGCTGATTTTAATCACGTAAAAGTACACAGAGTTCCTCTGAAATTGAGTAAACGCATCTCGGGAATTAAAAAATTGCGATGTGGATGGACCCACACAGGAGTCCTCACAGAAGACGGAAAAATTTTCACCTGGGGGAGAAATACTTATGGACAACTAGGACATCCCCGTCGGGAAACCCCATGGATTGCAAATGATGTGATCGATATCTCAGACATCAAACAATTCGAGATTGGATCGGAGCATAATATCGCACTCAACAGTAATTTCACCCTTTCACGATCATAAAATTCCGGAAAATCTCAATTGATTATTTTTTCATTCAGGAAAAATCATTTTCTTTCATTAGATCGGGGAGAAATTTTCTCGTGGGGATGGAACGAGCATGGAAATTGTGGAAACGGTTGCATAGAAAACGTCTGGTCCCCCCAAAAAATATCAATTCCAAAAGAATATAGAGGAGTTTTGATTGGAACTGGAGCTGGTCACTCCTTCGCAGTCCTGGAGACATTAATTTAAGCTCAATGAAACCTAGATATTGAAAATATACGTAACGAATAGTCCCTCGAACGAATGAACACACTGTAGCAATCCACGATAATATAGAGAGGGTGGATTTCATTACACCTGGTGACCACCTGCCTTCAGGCAACTGTTACCAATAACAAAACAAACCCAACAAAACTGACGTTTACCAAAACTGATATCGTACCTTCAGGATAAAAAATCCTGGAAATATTCTATTCTTTGGAAAAATTCGGTAATCAGAATGCTGAGGTCCAGATCGCAGGGGTCAGTCTGGTGAGTTTGAATATTTTATCGAACAGAAATTTCAATTTCTTAATTCACGTGGATAATTTTTCTTTTTTCGTTGTAGCGAACACGAGGCGAAGTTTGTTCAAGATAGAATAACTGGGGTAGAGAAACATTTTGCTGAATTATGTACAGTATTCGCTGCGTACACGAGAAAGGCCGCTAGGTAACTATTCAAAGTTTATTCATGAATTCGCGGGGCACTTATGAAATTTTCTGTCTTAGATTGCGGGATAAGAATGACGAAGTTGCCAAAGTCATACAGACGTATGCTGAGACTGAGACGATCAATCGATCGTTTAGCAGTGGATTGAGAAATTTTTCCACTACTCTATCGGTTATCGGGGATTACAGGTGAATAAATTGATCAGAAATTGAAAGAAATATCGATTATTCACAAATAACGAGTTAATATTCAAGAACATACTGTTCCTTATTAAATATAAATGCCTATATTTTTTCAAATAAATATTTTAATACTGAATATCTTTCAGAGATGCAGAAGTTCGAAGATTAGATGCAAAAATTGTCGCCCCCTTCTCCCAGTATTCAATAATTTGCAAAAATGCACGTGAAGACGTGAAAAATACATTCACAGCCAGAGACAAGGAATTGGTAAAGAGAAGACAATTAGATAAAGTCCGAGAGAAGAATCCCAGGAATAGACAATTGATCGTATCCTTTTAACCGAATAAAATCAATCCTGTGACGAAGATTCATTCATTTATTAATGCCCGAATTGATTCTTAACGTTTATTCAGTCCCAAGCTGAATCAGAATTGATGAAAGCCTCAGTGGAAGTTTCACGAGTGATAAAGGGTCTGGAGGAGCAAATAGATTCCTTCGAGAAACAGAAACTTCATGACCTTAAGCACTTGCTCCTCGATTTTGTGAGCATTGAGTTGAGTTTTCACACGAAGACTGTGGAACTTCTGACGAAGGCGTATCGAGACATTGCTGACATCGATGAAGCCAGAGATTTAGAGGTAACATCGTAGGAAAAATTAATAATCAATTAACGAATCGTAAATCCCCGGTTTTTTGTGTATTTAAATCGAATGTGTGATATACAGGACTATCAAGTAGCCAGAGGAGAGAATAGCGGGGTAACGCATACCTTCTCAATCGTTAATTAATGTGAAAACTATTCTAGTTGCGCGATGAATTGTACTCTCCATCGTAAACTCATCAATTAATTAATTATCCAGGAATTTCGAGAGGTTCTCAATGTTCCTGAAACGATGGCACGTCTAGACACCGTGAGGAGAACATCTTTCCGGCAGTCGCATTCCCTGGGGAATTTAGCAAATCGTCTCGCATCCTCACCATTGAACTTGAAAAAATTAGCTAGCAGACCTACAGAGTCAATTGTAAGTTCGTAATTAAAATCATTCGATTTTTCACATCAACTATTTTACGGAGAGTTAAAATGAATCGACGTGGTTGGATAAATTTTCGCATGGAAAACAATTATCATAATGAATTTTAGGACTCTCTGAAGGCATCATCGGACTCAGTTCAAGTCGAGGAATACGGAGACTCCACTGAGGAAGAAGAGTCCGAGGAGTCGATCCAGCGACGTCCAGTGAGACCCAACCCCAAATCCACGTAACCATCCACTCCATAAATACCAATTAACTCAATAAAATTGAATTTATCAGGTGTTATCGAAGACAGTAATCCCTAAATCCCCTCGACGATTCGTCCTGAAACTTTTCCCCCCGATGCCTCGAGGCCAGAGTTCCCTCGTATCCTCGGTGATGAGGAACTTGTCCTTCTCCTGAGAGCCCGAATAACAACCACAAGTATTGTCCTGGAAAAAATGTATAATTTATTGATAAACCTCCGTGATAACAAATAATATCGTAAATTATGGCTCAGTGGAAATTGTTGAATTCGTTAGTGCTCTGTTGGATGGAATAGATTCACTTGTCTGCACCCTCTACCCCAGCCTGGGTCATCAGGTCGGCGATATTCTTCTCGAGGTCGTCTATTCGATTTCCCATTTCGTCTAGTATTTTTCATTGAGGATTTTATACATTTCGTACGTATGAATAAATTTTTTTTATCGAATGCATTCCATCAATTATTTTTTTTCTTTTCAATCTCTACAAAAAATATTTTTCGATTTTCTAAGGCCTTCAAAAATAGTGAGAACCATAGTTTACATAATTTTTCAGGTTATGTGACAGTCGTTCGTTAACTCATGCCAACTCAGGCTTCAGAATCATGTAATTAACCCAAAAAAGGATATTTCTCCCGATGATTTGATCAGACATCGCCTGAAACTTATCCTGCATTCCCTGGAGCAAAGTCTGGACCTGAAAGCGAATGAAGAGAATTTCGTAATTTCACCTGTCAAAAGATGTGTCAAATTGCAAAACTGAAAATTGGAGAGAACTCACGAATTGTGTCAGCTCCTGCATATTTTTAGGATCGGCATTGTTCCTGATTGCGTAATTCTCGTCGTCCTCCTGATCGGGCTTGACGTGCTCCTTAATGTCAGCCATGTCCTTGGGATTTATTCGGCTCTATCACAATGAGTTGAACGGATATGGAAGGTTGACCCGAGTAACTCGAGGCTTTACTATGAACTCTATTCACTCCATCGACTTTAGCCAGGGGTGTTCGAAATCCTGGCGCATGCGAGATTATTTCACAGAGAGGACACGCCAAGTTGCTTCGATCATTGCCCTCATCCTGTGGATACCCGCAAGTGGTACCATTGATTGATTTAACAATTTGTTAAAATTTTATTGACGCCGCAATCCTGAAAACGGACCGCTGCGAAAAAATGACGGAATGACCCATCGAATTCTATTCTAATGATTTCTATTAAATATCTATTTAAATTATTTATCAGTTTTTTTAGGGATTTTTAAAATTGAAATTTTTTCATAAGAACCAGGTGTCCAATAAATATTCAAGTTAAAATTTCCAATATTTTAATGCAACCAATTTTCAATATTCATAAGGAAGGAGAAGTTTTTCGATAACTAGAGAGAACATTTTTTTTATTTTGGAAGGGGTGAAATTGATTTAAACAAGATCTCTGGCCAGAAGTTGAAGGAAATTTCGGTTTTCTCGAGAGTTTGCTCTGGACATTCACGTGAAGCACTTGGATATGGAATGCACATCAATAATTAGTTCTCCTCATCCATCAATTCTGTTGCGACAAATGGAGAAAAGTCCATAGAGACAAGTTTGAGACCAATTACTCCACCGTATCCTGGTTTTCCCTTGTAGAAGAGTCCAGCACCTGATAACGGCATTGGAGGGCATGAGACAACTTCCCGGAAGTCGAGGAACGGCACCGTAGTTTGTCCAAAATCTTTCACGTTATCAGTTGTTTGGAACATGAGATAACGAGGACCTTCAGCTTCGACATTGTCTCTCGTCTTAGTTGGAATATCGGAGTTTTCTAAATTAATTTCTTTCCTGAAACCCCGATAAAAAATTTTAACAAGAATCTCATTAAAAAATTAAAAGATTTCATCAGAATGGACAAAAAAAAAATAGAAAATTCTCGAGAAGTCGAAGAGAATTAATCCTCTGTTTTTCTATGAAATTAATTCATACTTGATCACACCACGTACCTACTGGAAGATTCTTGATTAAAAATCCAGTTATCAAATCTAATGTTCTCCAATTTTTGTGTCTTAGCATCCCAAGCAGTAAGTTTGATACCGAAATTCAAACGCCCGTTATCATTTCCAAATTTAACTCCTGAAAAAAATGATCAAGATTACCTCCCCAATAAAATCAACAATAGACTAGTTTTGCGTGAAGTAAATGTTCTTTTAAATTCAAACCTGTCAAAAAATAAGGTACTGCTGAAATTGTATAATTTGGATCATTGCTCGTGAGACGATCAATAACAAATTCATCCCGAGTACTAATAGTGTCTAAATGAACAATTGCCCGATCCGGAAAACGAAGTGTAAAAGATTCCTTAATACATCCTTTTTTATTCCTCTTAATGGAAGCGTCAACAGGAATCCAGCTCGGGGATTCCACGGCATAGAGACCCTTCAATTTCCCCTCCTGCCTTTGAATGTGAATGGTTCCATTTATTTCTACCAATCGCAGTCCAGTTATGACCCTGTGGAGTTTAATAATTAACACGAAGCTCCTGAATCATTCCACAGAAAATGAAAAACCCACATATTCTCCGCTATATTCGTCTCGACCTCTTGCAAACTGAACGTCCGAATTGTCTCTGGATTTTTGTGCTCATCGCAAATGCATGTACACACCAAGCACCTGGTGAACCAATTAGGTATTGCCTCGTACATATCAAAAGTATGCTTTTCATCACCTCTGGAGCAGTTGTCAGTATTCCCCAGAGATCGCCAAGGCTCTCTCCTGGAGCTTTTTATCCCCGCGTAACGCCTCAAACTCGACTCGTCCTTCGAAATACAACGAACAAATGAGATAATAAAATTTAATTCCAACTCTGGAATATATGAACGTTCGAAAATAATAATCTGCCTCTGACTGAATTATCTTTTCTCAAACACATTCATTAGGTTTTTCATTTTTAATATAAACCGTAATAAATAAATGAATAAAAATCATTTTAATTCACTGACGCATGTCTTTTACGTAAATTATTTTCCAGTTGCTTTCTCTTTTTTTATTTTGTAGATTTATGAAATTATTTGAATAAGAGAATAAATTATTGGAAGACTCACTGCTGGGCAAACCCACCCCAGACGTTGGTGACGGCATTGAGACATTGTGCCATGACATACGTCCTTTTGGCTGGATGGTGTTGAGCCATAAGGATAATATTTCGATTCCTTATAAAAATCACATTGAGTCTGGCAAGTACCTTGCGGATGCATGTTAGCTTCACTCACAATAATTTGACTGACGAACCACTTGAGCTCGACATAAGGAGAGCCTGCAATATTTTTTATTGCAATAATTCTCATAATTGTTAATACTAATAAAGGGGTCCTGACCTTTTGCATGGGTAAACTCCGAGGGCTCCCCAAGTGTTATATCTCGGGATGCAATTTTCAGAGCAGTTATCGCGAGTTTCGCGATGTTATGCACGTGCATGAGAAATTTCGTCGAAATGAATTTAATTTTTTTATCTCTGTGCCGCACGTTGGGATTGTCGTGGTAATTATAACTCTCTGTGACGTACCCTTTGAGCAAGGTCATTGCAATTACGCAGTATGTGTGATAGATTTCTCCACTTGATGAATATGTTGTGGAAATTGGACGTTTCCCTCCGAGCTGGAGAACGAGAATAAACACTCGAGGCATTTGATTTAATTATTTAAAAAATCGAGGATATAATAGCTTCAGGAGCTTTGCTGGAAGTGTCAGTTGAACTTCTGCTCCACTTCCCCAAAAATTTGATTAAATTTCTATTCTATTTCCAAATTACTCTCGTTAAAATTTCATTTTATTTTCTTTGATTTTATTACATATTCGATCGCGAAAATTCTAAATATTTTCCTTTTTCCTATCGAATTAACAATAGAAAAACTAAAAGTTGTTGAAGGAATTATTAAATTTCCGTACTGAATACCAGTACTGATGAATTATTTAATTGCAATTAAAACAGTGAAATTATGGAATTAATTATTATTCAGACTTACCTGTGAGAAAAATTCTCCGGCAATGGCATGGAAGAAGTGAATTGAGGGATCGCTGACGATTTCATACAAACGATCCGTCAAATGAAAGTTCGTCTCATTAAAAGGGATAGAAACTTTCTCCTCAGTCAAATTCTGATACCTGAGTTGAACCGCGCACAGGGCCTTATTAATCGAGTCAATATGATTGGCAAAGTTTTCAATGAGTTTTATGTTTTTAATTATGCTCGGTCCACATATTCCCGACGGATTTCTCATCGTCTGCAGGCCACCAGCACTGAGACACCCTGACGGAGTGGTTGCTGGGACCCCAAACAACCCCATCAGTGTTCTACGATGAAATTCGTTGGACAAATGAGACGAGTGTCTAGAAACTATTCTTTTCCAGATGCAGTCTATTTCCTCGAACACTTGGCGTCTATTCTCCAAATTTTTCAAAATTTTGTATCCCGTATTGAGGATATCCGGAGGCAAATTTCCTCCCACCGATTGCCCATCGCAATGGAGTGAAATAAAAATTAACGTTGATAAAAAAATAAAATTGTGAGACATCCTCACGCATTGATCACACCGAATAGACAATTGGAGATCAATGAACGAATCATTTAAACCCTGCGAACTCTTATTTATACAGCAGGCAACATCGGGATTCGATTCTCTTATCATAATTAAATGTCCACATACCGATACGATAACACTCGATGAAAGGATTTTCTCGAATAGAAATTTTCAGACAATACACCGTAATTATTTATTCATTCGATCGAGTCCAATTAGTCTCTCGAATAAATGGAACATTTTGGATGAAACTACAATGGTACGTATTGTATAAATTTTTTTAGATCCAGAATCAATTAAATTAATTGATTCAAATCATTGTGACGACGATAAAAAATCGACTGAAATTACCACCGAGACAATTCAGTGGTGACGAACTCTGAGAAATCGAAGGACATCAATTTGAGTCCAATGAATCCGCCGTAGCCCTTCTGCCCCTTGAAGTACAATCCCGCCCCAGATAGGGGAATTGGAGGCTCAGCAACGACATCCTGACTGTCCAGGAATGGCACCGTAGTCTGACCAAAGTCCTTTAAATTATCACTTGGCTGGAAACTGACGTACCTCCCATCACCCCTGACCTCTTCATTCACCTCTGGGCCATAGATCGGAATGTCGGGCTCTTCCAGTTTTATCTCGTAAGTCCTGCAGTTCGTGGGATAATTAATAATGCAATTAATCATCGATATTACCGTCGCCCTTACCCGCCCTGATGCTCAGGATACACCCAACCGTCCCAATTATCATCTCGAATCAATCTTCCTGTCTCTGTATGAACAGCCGTCAGCCTAATACCAATTACCAATTGAGCACTCACATTGCTCCTACTCAATCTAACTCCTGGAGAAATATGCATATGAAAAAAAAATGAATTGCAGCAATTTATCGAGTGATTTGATTGATATTTCTTTGATTTCAATTATCGCGATGTACCTGTCAAAACTCGGGAGTAATTAGCCTGGTGCGGACTCTTCTTCAGGATCACCTCTCTAACGTATCGATCACCAGAGCTCAGAGAGCTCAAACTTACACTCCTCTCGAATACGTAACGCATCGTGAAATAATCGTCATTCGTTAGTCCAGGCTCAGGATGATTGTGATTTTGGATTGGAATCCACCTCCTGGTGAAGCTGTCGATAGCCCCTTGTCTCATCAGTCGTGCCTCCTGGACTTCAATGTGAATGACACCTCTCATCTCCTTGAATCTCAATCCAGTTATCACCCTGAGATGAGTTCAATTAATCGAAATTAAAATTAACCTCCGATTAATTACAATTTCGAAAAATTATTATCCGAATTTGTTTAATCTGATTAATCAATTTCAAATTATATCAACTCACATATTAGCGTACACATCCGAAGTCACTGGTTTCAGACTAAATGTTCTAACTGTCAGGGGATTCCGGAAGTCATCGCAGAGACACGTGCAGATATCGCACCTGTCAAACCAGGAACTTCTAATCCAGTAGGTGTCATCGGTATTCCGGACCCCCTGATTGCACACCGAATGATTATTCAAATTACGAGTGACTCCTTTGATTCCCCCATAACGTCTCCTCATATGCGGTGCCTGGAATATCCCCCAGTAATTAATCAGGTAATTTTTAGGTTTTTTTATTATTTTATTACCGCATAACACAGTTGTCCTAGTGGTTGCAGGTAGCACTTGTGGATGACGCCGTGGCATATTTCTAACCCTTGGAAGGGAACCTCCCCGTAGGTTTTGAACTCGGCTACTTGATAATCGTTGCACTTGTTCCAGCAAGACGCGTCTTTGTTCAAATTCGCTTCGTTGACGATTATTTGCTCGACGAACCACTTCAAGCGGATGAACGTCAGTCCTGAGATTCAGTTGAAAATGAATTTGTAAAAATCTAGAGAAAATACATAAAGCTCGAACTGAGGGTATATCATTTTCAGACCTTCAATATGTTCGTATGGATCTCTGGGAATTATGTCTTTTGGGGCAATTTTTAGAGCATCGATTGTCATTCTCCCGAAATCGGCAGCTCGCAGAGCGAATTCTGTCTGCAATTTTTCGATCTGCTTCTCCTGACTAGTCCAGGAACTGTGTCGCCTGATTCGAACTATTTCGTCGGCATAAGACTTCAGAAGGGCGATCGTCAGTTTGAGATATGAGAGGTAAACCTCTTGGTGGGTTGATCTCGTTGGAAAAGCCGGTGTCTTCCCACGAATCTATGAAATTTATTCTAATCATGAAATCGTCACGATAAGAAATCGATTTTCCAAAATTTATAATAATTCATCAAGTCAAACTGAAATGACAATTCTGTTAATTATGGAATCGATCAATAATCAATAAATTATAGATATTGTAATAAATACGGTCTTGAGTTCATTTCCTGCTGCCCGATGAAAAAAGCACATGGACCTATTCCCGATATTTCCACAGCCTTTCATAACTGATGTATAGAAATCGTCAACAGATTGTCGCCAATTGCCGTTCTGCCCCTCTCTATTATCGATAGCTCGTCTGTAATATTCCCCAATCGAATCGATTCGAGATTCAATCTCGCGGATCTGTGTTGTGAAATTTTGAATGAATCCACATGGAGACGGCTTGGCTCCATTCGTGGAAATCTCCAGGTGATTGTCACACGTCCCCAGGAGCTTCTGGGGATCTCCATAGATCCTCAACAGATCATTCAGTAACAGACTCTCAGCGAGGTCCCTGTCGTAATTATGCAGCTGATTATAGAGATTCATTATCCCTGAATTGATGTCCAAGGTGTTCGCGTAGCCCAGGATGTTGAAGCCTTCGTTGATGATGTGAGGGTGATAGACCTGTCCCTGACAGCTGCCGAGGGACATCACCACTGCTGCATAGAGAAAAAAATTCACTGTCATCTTGGTACCGAGTTACCAAGCGGTTCTTCCGGTTGACTTTAAATGACTGAAGAGAAAACTCGCAAGTTGTCAGTAAAGTTGTTTTTGGATGAACTTTGGAGATGAGTGGGAAGGGATTTGGATCCACGTGCTTATCTTATCAGTGATGAATTCGGGGTAGGCCTCATTAAGAGCTGTTACTGTTACTGTTAAATGTGCTGGAAATTTGTGTAGATTGTTTGGAGGAAATTGAAATCTTGTGACCTATTTAGGAGCGATTTTTCAGATTATATTTTTTTATTCCTTTTCACTCATCCGATAATTGTAAAATATAAAATGCGACTATATTTTAATAAAATGAACGATCAAATCGTGATGCGGTTTTTTAAAACATTTCTAATTGAATACTTTAACACAATTGAAAGAATTATGAAGACTGGATGGGAATTCAATAAAGTTGTCTGGAATTCGTGACAAGTTTTTTTTTCTCTCTTTATTGATTCAATTAATTTGACGTGTACACTCATTACACGGATAATTCGGTTGCAACAAATTCTGAGAAATCGAAGGACATCAATTTGAGGCCGATGAAGCCGCCGTAGCCTTTCTGTCCCTTGTAGTACAATCCTGCGCCCGATAAAGGAATCGGGGGCTCGGCAATGACATCCTGACTGTCCAGGAATGGCACCGTGGTCTGACCAAAGTCTTTCAAATTATCAGTCGGCTGGAATGCGACGTACCTTCCCTCACCCCTGATCTCAATATTCGCTCCCTCAGCAAGAGTGGAAATGTCGGGCTCTTCTAGCTTAATCTCGTGATCTCTGTAACTCATGATTTAATTAATCCCACAGCTCGTCAATTACGCAGAACGAAATTAACACCATTAATTACCCCGACGCTTAATACTGTCCACGAAATTTTTACTCATTCTTTTGAAAATTGCAATATTTCCGGTAAATTAATGGAATAAATAAAAATATACTCGATTATCAATAAATCCATAATTTTTCTCTAAAAAATGTCATGATAATAATAAAATTATTGCAACTTAACATAATTAATTAGTATTAACTCGAATTTCAAGATAAAAATTCGTAGAGGCCAGGGTGAATTGGATTACAAATATTTCTCCACAGATTTTATTCGAAAAATGATAATTGAACTTACGGTCTGTCATATTTAGGATAAACCCAGCCGTTCCAATTTTCTTTGATAATTAATTTTCCATTTGTTATGTCCACCGCAGTGAGCCTGACCCCAAGGACCAGTTGCTTCACATGATTTTTCGCCAACCTGAGACCTGATTGATAAAAAAAAATGTTTACGAGAATAAAATTTTTCCTGGTCATTAAAAAATGGGAAATTCATGAAATGAACAGAACAACGAAAATAATTAGGAACGAAATTGAAGGCCTCGATTTTTATTCCATTTCTCGTGGAGTTGCCCCATAAAGAATTCCGGGATTGCTGTACCTGTCAGGACACGGGGATGCGCTCCTAATTCCGGGCTCTGCTCGGAAATAAACCTGCGAACACTTTCATCACGAGTGCTCACAGTGTTCAAACTGATATTCCTCTCATACGGATACCGCAGAGTGTAATAATCATGAGTGTCTGCCTTCAGATCTATATTCTGCACAGGGATCCACTGCCGAGAGTCAGCATCAATGACTCCAAACCTGAGCAGTCGTGCCTCCTGAATCTGCAGGTGAATCACACCCCCTGACTCGATGAATCTAACTCCAGTTATGATCCTAGAAGTTTTTAATTAAATTCCAGTCAAGTCCATCCAAAATGAGCAATTCCAGAGGCACAAGGATATTACAACTGTATTAATGAATTAACAATGAATATTTAATTACCTGAATTAATCAATTACTTGAAGCAATTATTCCGAATATTGCGAAATAAAAATATTAATTTCCGGATTTTTTCTGTGAAAATTCCTTATGAGAAAAATTCACATAAAATAGTCAATACTATTTCTCCAGAGAATCTGTTCTTTTTTGAAGATTTAAACCATTTTATATTGTTATATTAATGAAAAAGGAAATACTGACATGTTGTAATCAATATTTGAAGTCGCATTCCGGAGACTGAACTTTCGAATTGTTTCTGGATTTTCGAAATTATCACAAAAGCACGTGCAGACGTCACACCTGACGAGCAAAGACGGTTTGACGTAGTAAATATCGTCGATGCTTTGACAGGCCAGTGGATTCGACAACTGAAGATTCTGCCAGTTCTTGGTGACGCCTTTGATCCCTCCGTAACGTCTCCCATAATGGAACGCCTGCAATCACGACAATTTTAATGCACACGATTTTTTTACGTGTCTATTGCGATTTCCGGATTTCTTTTACCGCAGGACAAACTGCTCCTGCAGACTGACGATGGCATTTGTGAACTTTTCCACGGCACAAGTCATTTCCACTCGCTGGAGAATTTTTACGGAATTCCGTTGTTTCGTAATAGTCACAGCTTTTCCAACAGGAATTGTCTTCATTCAAATCCGCTTCGTTCACGATTATTTGATCCACGAACCATTTGAGACGGATGTAATTACCCCCTAATCAAATTAATTTAAATGAATTCAAAATAATTGAAATTCCGAAACGAATATCAATTTCGCGTGATCATCTATAACTATAAATGCAAAAACTATTTTCTGTTTTTGGATAATTCATATTCTGTAACTTTATGATTTTAATTTTATTATTTCATGAAATTTTATATTAATCATTGCAATTCATACGAAAATATTTTTGAATGAAATTTTCAAAAAATTGAAGAAATGGTGATAATATTTGAGATAAATTTTGAAACCTTCGACCCACTCCGCGGGATCCCCGGGGATGATGTCTCCCGGTGCGACCTTGAGAGCAGAATGAGTAATCCTAGCGAGATTGGCAGCACGCAGGACGAAGAGAGTCTGCAGCTTCTCAATTTTGGTATTCGGATTATATGCTGAATGCCGAATCCTGGCGACTTCCGCGGCGAAGCCTTTGAGAAGAGCAAGACTAACCTTCAGGTAAGACAGATAGACTTCCTGATGAATGGACCTCGTTGAGGGGAACGGAGTCGTCCCCCGAATCTAAAAAATCCGATATTTTTCCTCTACTCCAACTTTCTAGTAATTTGCATTTTTCTGATCTCTCTCTGTACGTACCAATTTGAATTCATTCCCTGCGACCCGATGAAAGAAGCAGGTGGAGGTGGTGGTGGAGTTGATGGTATTTTCACATCCACTGACAACGAACTGATAGAAATCGTCGACCGAAGACGCTCGATGGTTTCCAGACTGATAATCCTCGACAAGTCGTTTGTAATCTGAATCAATGTCATCAATCCGAGAATTCATCTCGTCAATTTGCTCCTGGAACTCACGAATGAGTCCACAGTGTTCTCTGCCCTTCTCCAAGAGGATCAATCCATCGATGGAGAGTCCCCCGTAATTTTGACAGGTCCTGAGAAGGTCCTCGGGTTCACCATAAATCATCAGCAACCGAGACAGACTGAACGCCTCAACTCCATCCGTACCGTAGGCCCAGATTGGCTTGTACAAGAGTCTGATTGCCGTCTCCAGGTTGTACCTGTTCCCCCGGCTGAGGATATTGAATCCCTCATTAATTATATTCGGGTAGTACACCTCACCCTGACAATTGCCCAGAGCAGACAATACCAGGACAGCCTGCAGAAATGACACCGTCTTCACAGGCATCACGAACCGTTTGCTTTCTTCACTTTTTAGAGAATGAATTTATACCAGTTGAAAATAACGTGCAGATGACGGCATCCACGATTTTCGGTGATACATTTTGATGGGTCCCGCATCTCTCTTATCGGCGAAAAATTCGGGGAAAGGTCACCCGGGGCTATCGCCACTGTGGGAGGATTCCTCATCGGAATTTCCAGTGACCTACATTCTTACTAGGTCAATCCTATTTATTTGGTTTTAAGATAGAGTAATCGGTATGTCGCACTTCCGGATGACAATGTAAAAAATTATCTCGCGTGTTTTTATTTATTTATCTAAGAAAACGTAAACAGGAACTCCACAACAATTATTTTCAGATTTAAAAATCTCCGAAATTTCCAGAAAAACTCAAAATGTGAGTTTTTTTCATACAAATTATTCATTTATTTATGCAATAAATAAATACTCAAAGATCCGTATAAATTATTTAAATGATTAATTGTTATATTGTTACAATATTAATATTTTGATTTCTTGAATTTTCTGGGAGACCAGAAAATCGTAGAAAATTGTAATCGCAAATGTTGAATGAATATTGATAAATAAATTTAAAAAATTGAAGTTTGTTTAGTCAAATTGATAATTATGCAGTGATTATTGCGGGAGTTAATGATTTTTAGGGGATGAGGGGTGCAGTAGTGGAATTTCGGGAGGATATACTATTTGGAATGGTGTAATTTAACGCTCGGCTTCCCCATGATTACACACAGCAACTCATCAGCATCATATTATCTGCAAACACAGCTATTGGATCCGATGCACTAGTACCTGGGATCACGCCAGTGCAAAGCTGAGTATGTTGAAATGCCACGATTCCTCCAAAATTAGCGAGGACAAGCTCGAGTGATCGAGAGACTAAATCCTGAGACTAAATCGAGAGACTAAATCGAGAGACTAAATCGAGAGATGAGATGTGTGTAATTGAGAAGAGGCTAATGGAATCGGGTGTCATTCGATTATACTTTTACTATCCATTCCAGAATGATTAAATGAACCTAAAGCATTTTCTCCAGAAGTGTTGCAATTTAATTCTGCAGTGGAATAAGTAAAGGATAAAGCCGACATGTTACTAGAGTTTTCCAGAAATATCTTGGAATCCGAGGGCGATCGCAAAATTTTTATTAGAATCTTTTTTGTAGAGTGCAATGAGACCTACGAAAAAGGTAATTATAAAAATTTTATTATCTCCTTTAGATTCCGAGATATCCCCCGGAGTAGCTATTTTCAAAATCAAATCCTCACGGTTTATTCGTTACCCCCATTTTTTATTGAATTCATACAATTAATTTAATTAATAATTGATTAATAGCTACAATCTGGTCTGACTAAAATAAAATATATTTCTGAGGCTCTCCAGGAATTATTTGAAAGAATTAAACAAGACGAATTTGTTGAGAAGAATTAATGATTCGAGGGTATTTCTGTATTTTTCTTGAATCATTGTCGAATAAAATTAATTATTGCACTCATCCATTAACAATTGTTAATGGCACCCTCCGGAAGAGCTTCTGGTACATTCAATTTAATTATGCAACACGTTGAAAACCGAGTACGAGAGTTTGATGAGCTGAAATGAATTCAGAAGTGTCAATCATAATTTTCGATTGATAAATAATAAATGACTCACGCTGTTGAAGGAATTTATAGAGAGAGTGATGATGTAGCCGGTGGTGAACAGCAGTGGCTTCTGGCTTCTCTGCATTATCAATATCAAACTCTTCTTGGAAGCAACCCCCAGGCCCGGCCAGTCCATGCTAAAGATAGCATCGCTAACTTTGGAGCTCTGATCAAATTTCCAATTATCACCGTTTCAAAATAGATAGCATTAATTATTACCTGGAGGGTGATCTGATGACCAGAATAGCAGGGCATGAACACCTGGGATATCATGCAGATGAGGTACAGAATGACGGAGATGAGGGCTGGATGGAAGGTATTGACTTGGGACAGCCTCAAGACACTCAGGCATATTATCACCGAGCTCAATGAATACTGAAGAAAAATTGGTATTCCAAATATTTCATTGTTCTCCTTCGTTAATCTGCAATGGAATCAATACCAGAATTCGTTTTAATCGTCTTCCAGACAGCTCCATCAATTTTTCTTTAATAACTTTTCCATTTTTGTTTACTTAACTGGAATATCTGGAGATGATGCTCCACGCATTCTGCCAGCTTCTTCGCCTCGAACCTCAGAACTCTTCTTCGTTGGTTGGAGTCGTCCTGAGGGAAATCTAGAGCCGATTTATCCCGGAACTGATTCACTGATTTTGGGAGCAATTGGAACCGGTGATCCAGGATCGCAAACTGAGCGCACGCCTGGATCATCACTCCCGGTGCAACGGTATCGTAAGCTGCGTGCATACACGCGTCAAATCCGTGGGCTATCACCTGGTGCATGTAAACTGCCCAGAATCTACCTGGGGATGAGTAATTGAAGGGCAACCAGGCGCGGTAATATAATTGCTGTTTTGGCACGTCACGAAAGAAACTCACGGTTGTCAATGCCGTTATTGTGCAGACGTAGAGAGCTATGTAGTAGATGTTCAGGATTCTGGAATCCGTGAGTTGATGAATGAAAGGGAAAATTCATCAAAAAATCGCACGGAAAAAGATTTTTCATTACGTAAATCGGAGTTAATTATATTTTTTACACAATTTTTATTCAATTCCTGAAAAGTTCAGGGAAAATTCGTATTTTTATATAAAAATATGATAGCGTTATTTTTTTAAGGCTTCGCGTTATTGACAATTTAATGTCCAATGGGAAATCCTCAGGATAAATGATAAACGGAAAGTTCAGAAAAATTCTGCCCACAACTCACTTAACAATCCGTGAAAATCGATGTAAAATGGCTTTCTCCTCATGATCCTGAGGCTTGCAAGGATAAATATTCAACTTCTCCTTGATTCCGATGATTTTCCTCCGGATGTATAAGCAGTGGGCAGCTTTAACACCCGCTCCGATGGTCGAGAGCAATATAAACGCGTTGTTGATAAAATGTTTGAGACTCTTGTACGTCAACAAGAGGTCGATCACTTGTGAAAGTGTATTAGTATAGACAAGGATGATCATGAAGCCGGTATAAAGATGATAGATTCTAGATTTCCATCCGGACCAGTTGGGGGGAAGCCAAACACCCCAGAGTCCTAGGACAGTGAAACTATAAGGCAGCATTAAACCAAGGGCTTATCCTCTGGTTTAGGCCAGTATGTGGACTCTCGGGACTTCTCTGATAACGCCCACTCGTCTACTACTCATTTTCTGAATAATTCAAGTACCGACTGTCTCCAGGTTGGTTTCCGCATCTTTAACCCCTGCAATTCCCACGAAACCCTCGGCGGCATTTTTTTTTTCTCTCAACTATTTGATTTCTGAGAAGAGGGGACTGAATTATTCAGTGATGCGGGCATGCACTTTTTCCCGTCATTCTATACTCGATAAAGTATTTATTGCATTTCAAAATGATTTTATGCTTTTTTTAGAATCTCCAGGTACTGGTGGGATTTATAATTCAGTTTAATTTTTCCCACTGGCTCTGAGGATTTTATTATCACCCAGGAGGTGGATATGTGGATATAGATATGACCGCTGGCTGATGAGAATATGCGATTTTTATAAAACTCTTTATTGATCGTTATTTTTCCATGAATCAATAATTCATTTATTATAATAATAATAAGATAATAGAATAATCAAAATTTTTGGAAACAAAAAAAATGAAAAAATTACGATTTTTGCAAAATGTGCATCTCAAATGTGTCGAGAAAATTTAAACTTTTGAAATTGCGCGCCAATGGATGGCGGGGATGAATTCAAAATGGCTATTGCGTGGAGGGCGACGCGCGGGGGTAGTCAGTGTTTCCGCGAATTGCAGTGAATACGACTCCCACAATCCGTGTTTACTCCCTATTATCTCGCTAATGATAACAATTCTGAAGAACAATTGAACTCCACGTCAATCTCTCTGGACGATCTCCACCTGTCATCCCCGCAATGTTGTGATTCCCACCCAAGTGCTCCATAAGTTCCCCAAGTCCATAAATAATCATCTCTCCGAAATCCCCACGTCTCTGGCATTTACTTTAGGACAATTTGAATAATCGCTATTTTTAGCCTCGAAGAGGCTAAAACCTCGACTCGCGTTCCCCAGACCCGAGTGTCAACCCCATCTCCCCCAGGGATCCATCGAGATGGGTCTTCCCTGCGACTGGCAGATTTCAAAGCAAAAAGTGGCACAACGGGGTCGTTATCTCCTGGAGACTGGACAATGGTCGGATTGCAAATTTATAGTGGGTCAGGAGCCCCAGCAGCAGATCCTCGAGGGCCACAAGCTCTTCCTGGCGATGTCGAGTCCAGTGTTTGAGGCGATGTTTTATGGGAGCATGGCTGAGAAAACTGATCCCATACCCATCAGAGATGTTCAGCCAGAGGCATTTAAGACACTTCTGGAGTATATTTACACTGACAAGGTCGACCTGGGGTCCTTCGAACTCGCCTGCGAACTCTGCTACTGCGCTAAGAAGTACATGTTACCTTTTCTTGTTGAGGAGTGCACGAAATTTCTGTGGTCTGATCTCTCGCCGAATAAGGCATGCAGAGCTTACGAATTTGCGAAGCTTTTTGAGGAGCCTGTGCTCATGGAGAAGTGTCTCTCCATCATCTGCACGAAGACCAATGAGATACTCAACGAACCCAGTTGGGACGAGGTGAATTAGCATTCACTGAAAATATCTTACACTGTGGGATTTTTGTTAATCAATTTGAGTTGTTAAAAATCCATTGGAAAAAGGAATAAATTGAATTTTCATTCCAGTTTTTAATGGGGAATTCGAGATAATTAATGTCTAATGAATGTTTACTTTTAATTTTCAATGGCTTGATTTGGTATTTAAATTGCAGGTGGAGGTGGGCACGATAGTCACAATATTCGATCAAGACGAATTGCAGATCGATTCGGAGTTGGAATTATTTGCAGCAATCGAGCGATGGGCGAAAGCTGAGTGTGTGAGAAAATCGATGAACCCATCGGATCCGAAAGCTCTCAGATCGGTCACTGGGAATGCCCTGACGAAGATCCGATTCCTGACCCTGACGCCCCAGCAATTCGCCGATGGCCCCGGAAGGTCCCTCCTCTTCTCCGAGACAGAGGCATTCTACATCCTAATGAATATATCCTCGAAACAGGCGAGCAACGATATGCCCGAGGGCTTCTCAACGAACCCCATCGCCAGGAAGAAGCCCAGACACACTCAGGGAGGCCTGAACATCGGTATGCCCCAGTTCAAGGTTCCCAAATCTCTGGAATTCGCCTCATTGCTGTCCGCAAACACCTGGCAGAATTATCCAAGTCTTTCATATGCCTCGACTTCACTGAATTATCCACCCTGCATGATGGGATCTGAACCTGATAGGCTGGACTCTTCGTGGCGTTATCCAGAGCTCCGGGATACTGCAAAAAACCCCTCCTGGGAGGGCGCTTCCAGCAGTCCCGCCCTCATCGAGAGCAGCTTCAGGGATGGCCACAAGTCTTACTGTTTGAGATCCATGACACAACAAACTGACTGTCTAAACTGTGGAGTACTCGATTGCTCTGTTACATTCAGTGTGGATAAGAATATATGTGTTATCGGAGTTCAAGTGCCTACTCAAGTCGCTTGTGAGGGAAATCCTCTGCCTAGATCAGCCGATGGAACTTACACAGAAATTTTATACGCTCACCTACTAGATTCTGAGAGTTCGAGACTAACTTACACTCATTTTACAACTAAAGCGAAGATTGGAACACTCGTCGAGATTTCATTTAATCGACCTGTGTTCATCCAGAAGAATAAGGTATTTATGGAATTTACAATAAGAAGATTATAATTCATAATTATCATTAAATAATAATTAGGATATTGGTAATAATTGATAAATAAATTGTTTTGAATGTTGAAAATTATTCTCTTCAGGTTTATCGTGTGGGTGTGGTCTTCAATAAGCCTGGATGGTACCCCATGGGCGAATGCGTACAAAGAATGACGTGTGATAGCGTATTATTCTCATTTGGTGTTGGAAACAATGCAAACTGCGTCAGAGACGGTCTCATACGATCAATCGTATTCACTTATCATCCATCAGAGAGCCACGAGACGAAATAATCTAGATCGCTATCTTCATTTACCCATTGTGATACGATACAGACCTGCCTTATTTCAACTGTTCCGTTGAATCCACGTTGATGCCCCCGATTTTATTTTCCTGATTTTAAATGAAAGCGTTGAATTCATTAAATCATAAATTATCTATTTTTTGTGTTAGAATCACAAATTTTTCGCCTCGGGAATTTAAATCGCGATGGAAAGTTTTTTTTTCTCGAATTTACTCTTTCGAAGAGCACTCGGAATTTAATTCTTGAAATTTCTTCCATTAAACCAGTGCAATGGACCATTTGTTTTCTGTAAAAAAAATCGACTTGGTGTCAATTGAGAACGGAGGACTCTTAATACGCTATTGATATTGTAAATTTAATTGTACAAGGAAGACGAATTTGTTGTTTTAAAAATATTCATCGTACGTCCATTAATTTCCCTAAGAGTTGTAAGGTTCAGCACAAAATCATGAGCTGTTTGTAAAATTGATGAAATGGTGAAGATGTTTATTAAAAATTCTAAGAGACTGTTCAATAGACTCACAGTAATATCATTTATTCTCACGATAAAATCTTCCACATCATTCTAAAAAATATATCTGCGACATAACAGCTCTGTAAATTTCCAAAAATACAACGACATATTTCCATTTCTCACCTTGACCTTCCATGGAATTAACTGGCAATGTTCTTACATATTTATATCGATAAAAAATACCCATAAAAACTTGATTCAACTGGTCTGCAGAATAAAAAATTGTGCACATGTAAATCAACAAAAGACAAACAATCTCGTAAACTCTAATACAGGAATTAAATAAAAAAATGTCCATGCACAAATGGAGAGATGAAAAATTACTGTGGCAATTTGCCTGAAGCTGAATTCTATGCGATAATTAGTACAATGTATATTATAATGTGAGAGTTGGTCTTGTAAAAAGAATTATTAAAAAATACATAGATAAATCTAAATTGTCCAGTGCTAACAACAGTGTGCGATTTGATTATCGAATATATCGAATATATCGAATATCACTCGAATACGAAGTGAAAAATCACTTGCGTTTTTCTGTAATCCTAAAAACCCATCGAATACTCGACGTCAGTGGACGAGCAATGATTAATGAGTCTGCACTGTGCCAATTAAACTTATTAACATCAATATGATCGAAGGCTCAGATATCGATGTAAAAAAATTCGAAGCACTTGCCTCCCCGAAAAATAATTTCACGTTTTATGAACGATGAAATCCCAGGTGTCACTCCACCTGAGTCTCATGACGTCTTTAGCACTGAGAGGACTCATTCCATAACTCAAAACCGAGAACTTCCTGAAAACATAGACGATCCACCCAACCCAAATAACAATAATCAGTCTCATCACCGAGAGTACAACACCTCGACAATTTCCCCTGACCACGAAGTACCCATGATCGATGAGCCCAGCAGTGAGCAAAGCCTTGAACACAAAGGCATGTAGATAATGATGAAGGAAGAGAGTCCTCTCCACGAAGAAGAAAGGAAGATAATGAAGAGCGTATCCAGCGAGTAGTACCTGCCCGAGATTAATGAATCTCCTCCACTCGTCATCGCCGATGTCAAAGCAACGTCTCCGTCGTCTCGTGAGGTACCCCATGAGTATCCCAACATAAAGAATAACAGCAGCTGTCCCTGAATACCATACAACGACATTCCCCAGGAGATGTACCTGAGCATTGCTGTCAGTGGCGACCCAGTATGCAATTCCCCTGGTCATGAGGGGCCACTCAGTCGGTCCACTGGCGTACATATGACTATTCTGATTCTCCTGTCCCCCAAACAACATTTTTACCTGGAGCTCGATGAATTTTTGCCAGAAGCTGAGTTTTGTGGCCTTGAGAGGAATCATCTCGGCATTGAGCAGCTCTCTCTCCCTCTGCTTCTGGTCTTCACTCTTCGTGTACCTGTGCTCTTCGACATTCCAGACAGCGTCATTCTGCTCGACGAATCTCTCAGCCACCACCTCGTGCTGATTAAATCCCCAGTCTGGTAGTTGTCTCCCACTGAACTTGAGAGCGTACTCAGTGCCCACGTGGATGAGCCTCACTTGACTCTGGATAGCGTACCACACGTCTCCAGACTGATCCCTGTTGACAATCTCAATTTTCCAGAGATTCTGGGCTGGCATTGAGACGTTGTAGTCGACGTAGCATGAGATCTCCTGGCTCTGGGGTGTCATCGGTGCAGCGACATCGTGAGAATTGAGTGCCCTGGAGGTGATGCCGTGCACCAGCTGGACGACATCCCCGTGTTTCAGGGGAACAATGGGCCTTGTGACGACTAGATCGGTTACGTCGGGTCTTTTGACGATCCACCAGTTGTTGACGTCCTTAAAGGAGTAGCAGGTGACCTGCTGCTGGTGAGAGCTGCCTCTACCATCGGGATATCTCAGAGGGTAGACTGCGTTGTGGCTGTGGAGCCAGCAGGCCCTTCCAAATGTATGTCTCAGGGTTATCTGGGAGCCGTGGGCCACCTCCAAGGGCTGTCCCTTCGTAATGCTAGCAAGGCCACCCTCGAGACTCGCCTGGAAGGCTGACGTCATCACTGCGTCGTGCGGTCCTGCCCGCGTGAGGAGTGACAGGTGGATGTAGAAGACTCCTAAATAAATTGTCGTGAAGGCCAGGGTGATGATGAAGAGGCGGGCGAAGAGATGTCCCCACAGCACTGCGTTTGAGAGGGTTTTTCTTGCTAGGAGGCTCCAATAATCCTGAGTAATGATCACCAGGGCGAGAATAAGAGAATACACTCCAACGTATTTCACACAGAGGGCGCATGTCAGCGAGGAGATTGCGAGGGTCAGCCAGATCCACCAGGACAACCTCCTGGGGTCGTCCATGATCTTTCGGAATTTTAAAGTACAAAAGAGCCCGAAGAGGGAGAATTCGATGAGAATGCTCTCCATCAGGATGAATCGAGATTGTGTGAGGAAGGCATTATCCAGAAGAAGCATGAGACCTGCGATTGCTGCACTCCAGGGTCTCATTCCCAGCTCCAGGGCTAGGTGGTAAACTGTGGGTAGAATGAAGCTACCGAAGAGGGCTGGAACAATCCTCAGGGCGAATAAAGGGACTGAATCCGCATAGAGACTGCCGATTCGGTCGAACTTGAAGTCACCGTCGAAACCAGAGAGGTACGCAACCGCTGCGATCAGCTGTTTACCCAGGGGCGGGTGCGAATCGAAGAAGAAGGTTCGTTTCATGTAGAGGCCGACGTACTTGCCGTAGTGGAGCTCGTCGAAGACAATGCTCCTTGGGTCTTCCAGACGGTAGAGCCTTGTCAGGATTCCTGTGAGCAGCAGCAGAAGCGCCACTACGTCAAACTCGAGACTTACGATGATCCTCTTCGGGGAGAACTCCTGGGGCTGTGGAAGAACCCCATTTTGGGGGATCTGCGGAGATTTAAATCACGAGAATGGAAATAAAGGAGACGATTCTTTTTACTGATTATTCATTTTTTAATGTGGCATAACATAGAATTCCGATAAATTTTCTAACACACAATAAGTCCAGAAATAAATATATAAATAACCAGACATTAAATATCCATCAAAAAATATTTACCTGTCCTCCCCCAGTCCTCTCTGTACACGCGGTCTTGACATCTTCCTGGATCACCCCAAATTCCTGAATCTCCTTGATACTCCCCTTGGCTTCCAGCACTCGATTTTTCCTATTCCTCACCTCCATGGCCTGAATTCCACTGAGCTCATGAATCCCTTGACTCTCAATCTCTCAATCACTTATCAATATCAACCATCGGCGCTTATCACAAGATTAACACGCGAATTGAGGAACAAGAAATCGATAAAACAATACCATCACTCTCTGGAAGAACAGTTATCTGAGAGAGGGGAGAATGTCTACGTTCCATAGAATAAAAATCTCCGACATAACGGTAAATCCTGAGGTCCCCACCTGGGGCCCCCAGAGCCCCGCGAGCTGTCACTCTCAATTGTAAAATCTCCAATAACAATGACAACTGAACAATTACAGACCCCTTGACGTGATTCAATGTCAGTTGTCAAGAGGCATTGTTCCGATGAGATAAATCACAGTGTTCAGTACTGTTGAGTCCTGTTTCAGTGTTTATAGAGTATTATGTAGTACAGTGTTACGCCACTAACGCCAGTGAACAGACCGAACAGACCACAACAGAACCTCTGAATTCACCTGAATTGATCTGAATCCTCTGAATCCTCCGAATAATCAAAACATTTGAGGTTACTCCCCACAATCGCTGCATAAATAACACGATATGATTAACAAGTTAATGAACCCCGGTGTAATACTGATAATTGTTTATGTAATAACTAATAATTACTCTGAGTCGAAGGTGATTGGATCCCGCGATCAGTTGGAAGAGTTGGGGAATAGCCTCTACAATGCTAGTGATGAAGTAGTTGTTCTTGATTACATGAACTTGAAGAGTACTATTAGAAATGGAAAGACTGCCTGGATTGTCGAATTTTACAACAGCTGGTGTGGATATTGTCAGCGATTTGCACCTACGTGGAAGGAATTTGCCAAGGGTGTTGTTGGTAATTGTGGAGAATTTTTTAAATTGTTCAGGGGAATTCCATCTCTGTTAATTTCAGTAATTAGTCTCGGTTTAATTTGAGGGGGTAATTGCAGTTCTTGATTCATAATTTATATTGTTTTGGTATTCAAAAATATAGACCTAGTGTTAATTCTGGATTAATCGTATAATGAGTGTATGAATTAATGAGTTAACTCTGGGTTTGACCTGGGGAGGCTGAGAATTTTGGAGGTCAGGGTTGTACGTCTTGGTTTCAGGATGGAGGGACATCGTTATCGTGGCAGCTATGGACTGCTCCAATGAGGATAATAATCCTGTCTGCAGGGAGTATGAAATCATGAGGTACCCCACTATTAGGTACTTCTCCATTGGGGACAAGGGAATTGGAATTGATGCCGAAAAGAGCATGACCGAGGAGGGAGTCCTCCGAGGGATGATCGAGCAACTCCAGAGGGACCAACAAGAGGGCAGAGGAGGCCATTGGTCCAATATTGCTCCTTACAGGTAATTTTTTTATCAGAAAAGAAACAATATGTGTTTCCACAATTTTCCGGAAATGCTGGAAAAATTTGAGTGGTCATTTTGCCTTGGTAATTTCGCTTGAACACACGAGATTAAATTTTTCGCATTAACTCGCATGATGAAGAATTCCATTTTTCAATGAACGTGACGCCTGTAATCGCATTCCTGAAAATACCACAGCATTTGTCAATGTTGACAATTCTTCATCTCGGGTTACTGCGTCGTGACTTCTGGCACGCGATGACGCAGAAAAAAAAACAATGAATGGAACTTGAAACGAAATATTTTTCATTTAGCTTCATTTTATGAGAGACATTTAAATTCCCAGCTGTGCGCCGACGATCCGTACTTCGTGAAATGGTTAGATTATTTAATCATCTTATTGTTTGAGTTTCGAAATTGTCGATAAAACCTCTCGACTCGTGTCCTTTTCTCGATGTTGCCCTCAGCGATTCCTTTTCAATTATTGTATTCTTTATTCACAGTAATTACAATATTCTGTTAATTCTGATTAATTTTTTGTGCATCTATCATTTCGGTCCATCTGTATTGAACCCTCAGGATATGATTTCGTAATTAAAAAATTACGTTAATTGAAGTTTATAAATGTATGAGTCAAAACAGAAATAATTTCCCAGGAGTAACAACTCTGAGGGCTGGAAGAGGGCCCTCCCAGTCTCGGTGAAATTCCACTTCTTCCTCTTCGAGGACAAAAACTCACATCTGGGTTCCGCAGTGATCCTGGATCTGCACAACATCACCACCTTGCAAATTCGAAGAGTAACACAGGATAATGAATGGCTGACGAAGGAGTTCACAGTGACCTCGTTCCCCTCTCTGATCGCCTTCAACAGGACGGGCAGTCCAGTGCGATTAAAATTATCAGAGCCAACACGTGCAGGAATTGTCAAGGTCATCAAGAAGTTTTTAAAAACACAAGGGATCAGCACAGAGCCCGACAGGCCCTCCCCCTGGGAGGCCCAGACATTCGATGAAAAGAATCTTCCATCAGGCGTGAAGCCCTCAAGCTTTCCGAAGAAACCAGTCGCAGATATCCTGTATCAGGCGGATCTGGAGAACGCCCTGAGGTACTCCCTGGAGCGAGAAATTCCCCTGAAGAAGAGAATCGAGGGAGAGCAGCTGGAGGCCCTGAAGGCGTACTTGAATGTCCTGAAGAGATATTTTCCGCTGAACCGAGGAAACTCCGAATTTCTGATTAATCTCCACAGCACAGTCTCAGATCGTCCTAGTATAACTGGAGAAAATTTCAAGGGTCTGGTGACACTGTACCAGCAGGACTTTTTCCCAGTATTCACTGAGGATCGAGGATGGATTGGCTGCAGTGGCAGCGCCTCCAGGTTTCGAGGATATCCCTGCGGTCTCTGGACCCTCTTTCACACGTTAACTGTCAATCATGCAGAAGCCTTCGAGGGCGAAGACCCCAGGAATCGATCCGAGGGGATGGTCCTGAGAGCCATGCACGGTTACATCAAGAATTTTTTCGGCTGTGCAGATTGCGCTGATCATTTCATTGAAATGGCGAAGAAAAAGGATCTCTTCAGTGTCCAGACTGTCGACTCTGCAATACTCTGGCTCTGGTCAGCGCACAATGAAGTGAATAAGAGACTCTCCGGAGATGTCACTGAGGACCCAGAATTTCCCAAGGTTCAGTACCCCAGGAAGGAGCACTGCGAGGCCTGCAGGACCTCCGATGGAGCCTGGACCTCCGAGGAAGTCCTCATTTATCTGAAAGAGAAGTACGGGCGTTCTGGAATTCACTATGGCTCCAGGGAAAATAGTGAGATCGTCAGACCCAGGAGAGAACACATCACAGTTTCTCTAGACAGGACTGTCCAGACAAAGGCAGGCTGGGACTTCACAGTTTTTGATATTAGCATTTTAGTCGTTCTCTATGTGGCATCTGCTGCCATCCTCGTCCTCGTTTGTGTGCAATTCGCTGTGAAGAAGTCAATGAAGAAGAGGACATTCATACAAACCCTATTCCGAAGAGCATGAACAAAGTTGTGGAGCAAGTTATATTGTTAATAGAGAGAAAATTAGATTTTTCAGACTCGCAATTGAAAATCGTGTAAATTTTATATTCTGTGTATTTTAATTGAATGGAAAATATCGGCTTTTTTATTCCAATGAATGATGAGAAAAGAAACGAGTGAAGGGTGTAATCAATCTTGATTACTCATCACAAAGAATATTCTATATCTTCCATCCAATTTCCAGATCTTATCGTTCAGTTAGATGAGAATATCATGGCAGCTCAATTATCTTCGAGATTATGTCAAGGGGAAAATGTTAAAATATTGAGAGATTTTTTTTCAGATACTCAAACTATTTTTATATTTTCCCCCAACTTCACTTACTCTCAAGACAATTGCATAATTAGTGAGGGGTATCGTCATTGAATTATCATGTTTTCTATTTATGTGTGAAAATGAAATGATTCAACGAATGGTCCACAGTAGAATCTAACAAGACACTTTTACTTGGACATTTTCTATTCCATGAAGTGTCATTTATTAATTAAGATTTATTATTTGTAAGAATGAGAGAGCACTGTGACAGTAAATGAGGCAATTACTTGAATGATCCAAATAATAAAGTGCCCGGAAATAGCACTTGCCAAGTTTTCACTCAGCGAACTGCAAACCTGTGGCTGTAAATATAAGTATACTGTACATATTGAGTATTTAAAATTTTTTAAAGAATATTCTTCGATGTTCTCGTCCATTGACATCGGTTTTAAAATTTATATGATGATGATCTTAATAAATCCAATTTTATATAAACCACCGACTTATTAGTATCCCGAGGTACTTGAAAATAGCTGAGTACGAAATAACCGATAGTATTTTTTTTTCTCAGTCTTTTAAATTCCAGTCAAAGTCATTCTCCGATAAATCTCGGAATATCATCGGTTAATAGACGAAGTAAATATGGAATAAAATAAAAGTTAATGTTTTCCGGTTATCGACCAAGTGCGGGGTCAATAGGCCGTGTCTAAATATAACCGAGAGGCCGTAGAGAATTAGAGGAAACAACTCAGGAAGTTGGAGGCGTTCTGGTTCCCTCCGTAGCAATCAGAACTTGAGTTGACTCGAATGAACTTCTCCAGGATACGACCTAAAGAAATGAAAAGAAAATTGAAGTATTTCTTCGCCTAGTTTCATTGACGATTCTAGAGAGGTCGAGGGCTTGTCCCGTCTCCAGGAGGTGCCTGGTACGCTCTATTCCTCATTCCCTTGCCCCTCTGTCTCCTGATTTGATCCCTCAACCCCTCCGATCCTTTCATACCTCCACTGGTGACTCTGCGCCTGCGGAATTCCCTTGGTATTCCCACACCTTCGCCAAATGTCAGGGCTTACCTCAAACTCACTCAACACGAGGACTTCCAGTCACTGGGCGAGAGCCTGACTCCACCGTGTACCTGTCTAGTTCATAGTTCAACTTGAATTTTTCTTTCTCTATTTTTCAATCCGGAATTATCAATTTTGTGATGAGTATCTCTCGTCATCCGGTGAATTGTTGCTGTCATGTTTGATTTTTCTGGGGAGAGGCTTTCGGGAAGTGGAGGGGACCTCAACAGGTAGTTCATGCATATTATTACAACCTCGATTTTAAGTGGCTGGTATCGTTTGGAGAGCATGAAGTCGTGAAGAAGAAGAACACGTGCTCGCACGAATGAGCGGCCAGGATGACGATGAGGATGTCCAGACGGGGGAAAGCTGCAGAATGGAGAAGACGAAGGAAAATGGATTTTGCAAAATCGAGGGCTTGAGAGAGAACAATAATAATGAGGAGATCAGTGGAGGATTGCTCTCTATCAGGGGTGAGAATTTCAATATCAATTTTTCGATGAACTACCTAACGGTTTATACCGTATAACTTGAATTATTTATCCGACAGATGAATTAATAAATGACTGAATGAATGCTGAATTGAAATGATCTCGTATTAATTTTTAATGGAGCAATTTTTTTTTCAGGTTCAGCACCCACCATGGCATTTCCAGCGACTCTTCAAGAACGTTTTCTCCACATAAAACAGATTGTTAAAGAGGCGATAGAGTCACACCACACGTTTATGATCTACGGTCGTGCCAAGGTCGTTCGTGAATGCATGCTAAAACGAGGATGGATTGAGAAATTGTGCCGTAGAAGTAGCAATGGTGACCGTGTGAGATATTTGCCAGAGAGAAAGACTAAACGTTCACGAAATTGGAAATTTACAGTAGACAGTCAACAGCAGGGCCAGCAGATACAGCAATTGTCCAGCCAGGGTGGTCAACAGCATGCCCAGGGACACGTTGGAGTGGACACCAGTCCTGTGGTACTGCTTTCGGGGATTGGTGATCTCAGGGATGAGCAGAGCCAGAGACTGCTCATGTCCAAGATGCTGGCTAATCACACTGTTGATTTTTTGTGGAATTCTGGGTCCGAGTGGCCTGGATGGCCCAGTCAGGATAACAAAACTACTATTTTTAATCGATACTCCAGGGCTGGGTTCACTTCCAAGGTGATGATGAATTATTCATTTGTCGTGGTTCTTGCATTTTCATTACTTAAAGGGAATTTTTCTCCCGGTAGAGATAAAAAATTCAAATTAATTTATGGAATTAATTCATTAATTAATTTCGAAATTCCTGTTGAAAGGAGAAATATCATGACAGTTGGGGAAGAATAATGCGCATTTTTTTCTGGTGAAGAGAAAAAATTGAAACGACTTCGGATTTAATTTTTTTGTCTGAAGAATATTTTTGGAATAACGAGAATATATTAGTATCTATTCAATTCAGTTCGGCGTGCATCGATAAATTTTCAGTCGAAACTCAAGGGAAAATTTTTAATCTGAAATTCTTGAAATTCTTCCTCATTAGGTGGGACTTTGTGCGAATTTGAGACAGGTACACTGGTATTATGAGCCTGGAGTGGCGAACACTCTGTTCCCCAGGTGTTACAACGTGTGTCAGGCTGACCACATGCACGCCTTCATCGAGGATTTTAGGTGAGAACTAGAAAGAAGATCATTCGAATCCCCAGAACATAATCTATTGAATTTCACTTTGAATTTTCATTCAATAATAAAATAATTATTAATTTATTCGGTAATCAGAATTTTAATTATCAAATAAATTACAATTTGTTTAACTTATCGTTTTTTTTATGGAGAGATCTTGCAATTATTTATTGCCGCAGGCACACAGCCTGTCTGAGTATTTTAAAATGGTTCGTGGAGAAGATGAACAACGAGGGGGAGAATCTATCTGTGTCCTCTGGTGGAACAGTCCCCCTGAAAGCTCTGGACTTCGCGATAAGACGATGCAGCGATTACATCGAGGCCCAGTCCCACGAGGACATTGACAAAGAGTGCGAGAGGGTGTGGTCTCACCAGTGGGAGCAATTCATCACCTGGTACTACAAAATTGTTCACGAGGAGGAGACCTTCTTCGGGACTAATGTCTCTGTCCATGTTAGTCTTTCTATCTCGACTCAATTAATTATTAAAAAAAAAGGAGTAATTATCATTAATCTCATTATCGTTCTTAATTCTCATTTTTTTTCATTTAATTAAAATTTTGAATTTAATCTGTAGAAAAATAATAACAATTCCTTGACAGAAGTATCTTCAAGCCTCAAAACACATTCTGAAGCGCATCCGCAAGCACTGGCATCAGCTCGACATGGACGGAGTATCGAACGTGTGGATCCTCAAACCAGGAAACAAGAGTCGAGGTCGTGGAATTGTTCTCATTAATAAAATCGAGGATGTCGTGGCTAGAGTGAATCCCGCAAACAAGTCAGACACTCGTTACGTCGTCCAAAAATACATCGGTAATTACGCAATGATTCTGGAATAATGGAATTAAATAACCGAGGATAATTGATACATTTTTCAGAGAGGCCATTATTAATCCACAACACGAAATTCGACATAAGACAGTGGTTTATTGTAACGTGCGCTCAACCATTGACTTTGTGGATGTACAGGTGCGTCTCTGGGTCGCGTGTCTGGACATTATTCTATAAATAAGTAATGGGAAATTACCTGTTTACGATATAGCACGTTAAAATCGCTTCTGGTCAGGTCCAAACTTTGAATTCACCAAATGCGAAATTTTCGTGACTATTCAGGGAATTTAAACAGTTAACGACCCACTACGGAATTACCCACGACGAATTGATCGAGGTTTAACCCAGTTACCCAAAATGTCATGGCTTATTACTGTTTGGCTATTTAATCGTGTGGTGTCACTGATTTTTATTCTTCTTTTTCGTTCTCGATTAAAGGGAAAGTTATCTCAGATTTTGCTCCCAGGAATTTCGACTCAGTGATCTTCATGAGTCAGTGCATCTTAGTAATCATGCTGTACAGTGTAAATATAAGAATAGTCCAGATAGAAATTCGGCACTGCCGCCGGATAATATGTGGGATGCCACGACGTTCAAACATTTTTTGAGGTGAGCATCGAAAACAATTCTATTGTTTTTAGAATATTTCCGAAACTGCTGGGTTCAGCGATAAATGTATCTCGAACTTTTTGTTAATCATTAAATTGTGCGTAAAAAAGTTCTATAGCATTTCCGTCCAAAACCCTTTCTCTAAAAAATAGAGACCTATTACGATTTCTCGAAAATAACAAATTTACTTCTAATATTTTGGAAATATTTTTGAAACTATGGAATTTAGGGGAAAAAGTTCCGGGAATTTTTTCTCGGGCGTGAAATTTGGAAGAAAAAAGTTTTCTGAGATTTTTCGGTAAGACTAAGGGACTCAGGAGTTTATGATCGATTAACTCTCGTATTCATGAATTCACTTCAGATCTCAGGGTCACAATACCGCATGGGACGAGTTAATATATCCTGGCATGAAACAAGGACTTGTCGGAGCCCTTCTGGCAAGTCAGGAAGCTATGGACAGACGGAAGAACAGCTTTGAACTTTACGGAGCCGATTTCATGGTCATGGAGGACTTCTCCGTCTGGTTGATCGAGATCAATAGCCAACCGGACATGAGTTATTCCTCTAGCGTTACGAGTCGATTATGCAAACAAGTGATGGAGGATATAGTTAAGGGTACAAATTCCCCTCACTCTCAAATCCACAATCAATTAATCAATTTAATCCAACTCTGACCGATCATATATTGATCTCGATTAGTTACCGTGGACTTCCGAGAAGACAAGAATGCCGATACTGGATTATTCGATCTTGTTTACAAACAGAAGATGCCGAACTGTCAGCCCTATTTAGGCGCTGCATTATCCGTTCAAGGAACAAAAATAAATTCCAACGAGAGGAGAATGACTCATTTAGATCCGAGAGTTCTTCCGAAATTTCCATTGGTAAAAATTGCATTCATGCAATTTGTTGCATTTTCATTAATTAATCAAGACTTTTATGATCCATTGTGTGAGAGTTAGAGATAAAATTGATTAGGAATCTTTTGTTAATTTGTTCAGAGTTGCCTAACGAGCCGAAAAAAATCCACTGCCAGCAGCTACATAGGACCAGTGATCGTCGACCTAATCGAGGAATTAGAAATTCAACTAGATCGTGAATTACACTCGTACTGCAAGCTCGACTCGCCAGTAGACTCTAACAATTCATCCCCGATAATATCTTCCCCAGTGCTATCATCCTCTCGAGCTTCCTTAGCATTAATTCAAGGTAAAATCGAGGCTACACCTCCTGGCTCGATAATACCCAGCAGTTCCGGTGGCATCAGTCCCACAGCAAAATCACCCACACAAATTGCTCAAGTAAATTATTCCCCCCGATAATCACAAAAACTCCACTGACAGCAGATAAATTATATTTTTTACACAGACTATACCGAAAAGCAGTCGTTCAACGAACTCTACAATGAGAACATCCAGCAGATTGAAAAAAATAACGAAGGAAACGTCTGCAGGGCAGACGGTCCCCTCGAGAATATCAAGAAGTCAACGAGAGGCTAAAACAGCCATTGAAACGAGATCGAATAAATCAGACAGGACTAAAATTCAAAACGAAGAGAAAGTAAACAACGAGATCAATAACAAAGTGATAAAAGGATTGAGAGGAGAATTCGCGTTTTTATTTCCGTCTAGAGTTTTCTCATTCAATTTTTCAAAAATTAAAAATGAAAGAAATGGAAATTTTTTTTTTTTAATGAGTTAAAAACATTGAATATTTGCATTTGTTACAGCTAATCGGTGTCGCAATGCGCAATGCAGCGAACAAATACAAAAAATATGGAACAGCTCCTGTGGAGGTGCCTGCCCTCCCTTCTTTTCTCGTCCCCACGAAAACGGGAAAACGAATGATTCGCTCGTCTTCAGTGAGCACTAAAACGAGAATCACTTCAAGCAGAATAAAACGACAAGAAGGCATCCCAGATATGGCTGAGATGTATGCAGTGGGTCTTGGATTAACAAAATGAGAAAGCCTCCATTCACATTTTCTCTCGCTTATTTTTTCTCAATCTGGTATCTACATAATGGCATTTGTTGAAATATTAATGTGAAGTAAGAAATTACAAGAACTAATTTTAAAAAATTCAACTTTATGACATTAATCATATCCACAATTCTCTATCGATACTTAATTGTACACTTTGACAATTAAGGTCTTCCTTCTAAATTACGTAATCCGAAAAATTGATTAAAAGCATTCTATCTTAATTACACGAGTAATAATTTACATTGGCATAATCCAGAATTGATTGGCATCAGTAAACAGCACGTTGCCGAGTTCATAATTCAGCTCCAGAAAGAATCGAGGACACTTGATTCAGCTTTTCAGTTCGATAATTGACACGTCTGTTGATGATAACTCAACGCACGTGTTAATTACAGGTGCTGGAATCAACCCTCCAGAACTCAGTCGGCGCTATCCCAGGGGGAAAAATTAAAAAAAAAAAAAACCTCTCGGAACGTAATGAAATATCACATTGAGAACACCACTTAAATTATTATTTCACACGAGACTCACGTTACTGGTTTAAGTGAAAAAGAGAGCTTCGGCCTAGAATTATTTTTTCCTAGAATTTTTTTCTGTTCTTCTTTTATACGTTTCTCTTGCTCTTTTCTCATTTTCTGGCGCTCCTCCTCCAGGAGACGCTGCTCCTCGACCATTGCCAGTCTGTCCTCGGCCTGAAATTTCATTTATCCAATTATGCCAATCTATACAATTTTCGAAGGTCTACTACGATAGCTCTACAAATCTCCACCTTTACAAATAAAATCCAACTCACCAATCTCTTTTGAGCCTCCTCAATTTTCCTGTTGTTTTCCTCCAGAATCCTTTCGAGCTCCTCGCGTTTCTTCCGCTCTTCCTCCTACAACGACAATTAAAACCGTTTACACGAGGAAAGAACAGTCGTTAGCCCCGACTGGCAGTCACTTAAACTCATCCCCCACAACGATAATGATTAAACCATATCCATTATGAGACAGCCCCACGAAAAAATAACAGTCCCTGAGAAAAAAAAAATCTCTTCACGTGGAGGAATGAAGGGACAGGGCTGGGGACATATTAAGGACGTCGATCCACAGTTGATGATAAAAAGAACAAGTAGTTCCTCACTCGCTCGTCGTTATCCTCTACAATATCTCAAGCACGACGAACTCTCTTTCGTCATTTCACTAGTGGTGGTCTATATGAAAAGGGTCTAGAAACAAAATTGAAGCTAATAAAGTGACAGAGAACTATGTAAACCAAATAAATAAATAAATAATGAAAAAAAAAGATTATTTTATCACTGGGCCGTGCTTGTGTGTGGTTTCGTAGTCATTCCCGCAACGAGAATACTCGCAAGTAACGAGTAAACGACGTCACAGAGAACATCAACAATGACAAAAAATTAATACAATTTCATCATCAACATTGAATAATAATGAATAAACTGGTTTATATTAAGAATTATGAATATATAAATTGGATAATACCTGAATGTAGCAAACGCCAGCACACGTAGGGGATGACTTCTTCATCTAGCAATCACTCGGCAATGAGTTTTATACCGGCATCTTCCGTTGGTAGTCAGTTTAGGAAGCCGACCTATATTATTTTATCTCTTGGCTTCGTATTTTAAATTTCCCTAATTTTCCAATTTCAATCTGTTTTGATTTACCAACCGTTTATCGACTCTTCTAACGGTCCATTCCCATTCAAATTCTTATTGAAAAACATTCAATTGAATCATACATATACCCCCAAGGATATTCATCCTGACAATTGCCTGGGAAATGTGAATATGAATTTTCCCTCGGATGTCAAAAGCCCCGATTGTCACAACGATCGATTCACAAGCGCATTTAAATGTATCATTCAATTCCACAATGAGTTTTTCAGGGAAGCACTCGAAGATTTAACTCAGATGAATATTTTTAAAAAAACGCTATTCATTAAAGAATCTCGAAAATCAATTGAACTTTCTGAGTGTATATCAATTTTCTATTGACGCAATAAAAAACAACATCAACAGGTAATTTAATGTTTGTTATTGCATGAGACATGTACATATATACACATGGTGATAAGTGAATTAAAAAATAGGACAAAAAATGAATGAGTTATGAGTCGTCCTGCTGACGACTTGACACGTGCCCTTTAACCCTGCTGTGAAATTGAGTTAAAAAAATGAAAAAAAAAATAAATAAATAAATGGATAAATAAATGAAAATTGTCGCCAGGATTTTCGAAAACCTCGAGTGAAGACACAGTCGAATGAATAGTCATCTGTTTGTGGAGAAAAATCGGCCAGACGCTTCAGCAGTGTAAAATCGAAATAGTGAGCATCAGCGTTGGGAAATAATAATCTTTAGGTTCGTTCAACAATTGCAGATGGGGAGATAATGGGAATTTTCATAGCCACATGCTGATGGATGAGAGAACTCTGGGGGAAGATTTTTTATTTCACCAGTGCTGGTGGATCAGTCCCTCGACGTTACAAATTGCTCGTTAAAAATGCGTCCGACCGTCTTAATATCCCCGTATGTTTCTCTGGATTACTCTTACCTCTCTACGTTTCTCCTCCTCTCGAAGTTTAGCCTGGCGCCACTCCATCTCCTCCATCATCTGACGCTCCATGGCTCTTTTAGCCTCTTCAACTCGTCTCTGTACCTCAGCCTCAATCTCCTCCTTCCTCTTCTCCAATTCCTCCTCAACACGCTTTTGCACGAGCTCCTCGATCCTCTTCGCCGCCTCCTCCTCCACTAATTTCTGCTCCGATTCACGTTGTCGTCTGTCACGCGTGTTTCCACGTTAAAATCAAATGATTCACTTCCATTTTTCATCCCTTACTTTAACAATACTTATTTACTTAATCTCTAAATCTATAGTGAAGGGATACTACGAGAAAGGTAATCATGTAAATTTTTCTAAGACTCTTTTTCAAAATTCAACTTCAAACAGGCGTAATTTTCATTTTTTTCACGTTAAAAAACGACTAACCATGCAAAATAATTGTAATAATTCTAATCAATTCCCATTTAAAAATAAAAAAATACTCACATTTTAATAATAACAAAATCCGTTTTTGTACAGTACTCATAAAGTTTCGTAGAAATAATTTTGACATTGTGATAACATCCTTGAAAAATATCATGCAACAAACACCTAATCAGTAATCAGAAAGAATCAATAACCATTCCTTCTGTCCTACCCCTCCGTAACATCCAAATTCATCATAAAAAGCACAAAGATAACAGTAATACCCATAGAAAACCCATCACCCGTAAACATAAGAGTATTCTTACCGAAGCGCACTCGTAGCGAGAATATTGGTCGTTAATTCTTTCTTTTTCCTGACAACACAAGTACAGAAAAAAAATAAAATCAAACTATGGAACAATCGACAGTGGATTCGCCATCGGACGAATCGGGTGTATTCATTCGTATGGAAATACCATTGTAAGCAGGTTTCAAGTTACCTCTGTCTTTCCATTTCCGCGAGACGTTCCACTTCGTCCATTTTACGATCTCTGTCCCTGTAGGAGCGTTTCTTGTGACTGACGATGTGAACATCATCAGAGACATCTGAATCACTGCTGAATGATGGAGAATGTGACCGTTTCCTAAAAAAATTATACTTTAGTATAACATATGAACTCTCGCAGTAACATTCTCAGATAATTCAGAATAACTAGTCTAAATTCATTACCTTTTTTTCTAACTCTGAAAAAATATTCCACACGTCAAAATCAGACCTCAGAGAACTAAACCCTTTGGTTAAAAGACTTGATTAATTTTTAAAAACATAATCACTTGGCTTATCCTTTTTAAAATTATCAAACTTCTAGTATTTTTCCGCGGAACCCCATGAATCTTGGAGTCCCTCAGAAATACCCAAATTTCTATTTTTTTTTTGTATCCCTCACTTCCCTTTACAAAATGGTCATCATGACAATGTGGACATCTCTAATAGAGATACCTCCCAATTTCATCGCCAAAATAAAAAGAAAAACGCACTGACTTCACCCCCAAAGTCGCAAAAGAAAGGCGAAAATTCATAATTACCTGGATTTCAAGCTCCTCTCTTTCGGTTTCTCGGCATATTTACTATTACTCCGTTTCTCTCTCGACTTGGATCGCTTCCTCGAGTGTTTGCTCTTGTGACGCCGTCTGCTCGGCGATTTACTACGAGATCTGGACCTGCCCATGCTTTTGGAAGTTATTTTCCCGTTGGATTCAATGATAAAAACGTTTGAAAAATGTTCAAATGAAATTTCACTGGTGCCTTAACCAGAAAAATCGATGAAATAATGAGTAAAACACTTCTCTTGAACAAATCACAATCACTTTGATATAACTTGACGCGTGTAGCACCAAAGGGATGGACTAAAGTAGAGACTCCGATATTATCGGGGTTCAGTGATATCAAAGAGGATTGACTAGAGTAGAGGTTCAGATGTGGGGGTTTGAGTGACCCCA